TGTCCTCGCTCAAAGGCGCGTATATGCGCTGGCACGTCACCAACGCCATACTCCTCTTTCTCGGGGCGGCGTGGGGAGTGCTGCCGTGGGCCGCGCTGTGGATCATCGTGACCATCTACACAAGCTTCTACGGCGGCGACAAGCACTGGGCGACGAAAAACCTGGTCTTCATGTCCGTCGGCTCATTCTGTGTGCTGCAGTCCGCTTGGGGGCTCGGAGCGCCGATCGGACCCCAGACGCTGAGATGGGACCTGATTCTAAGCGGGGCTTTCGGGATCGTTGCCAGCATCCAGGACATGCGTGATGCCGAAGGCGACAGGATTGCAGGGCGACGGACATTGCCCATCATTCTCGGAAATTCCTTCCGCCCTGCCATGGCAATCGTCATCTGCGCCATGCCGGCCGTGTGCTGGAAGCTCGATTTTCTGCGCCGCTCGCACTGGATGGTCGGGTACTGCGGGGTGCTGCTCACTCTCGCCATGTTTTACATGGCCCAACGTGTCGTGCGGGGTTTCTCCGCTCGCTATGATCACAAGACGTATATGGTATGTCACCCACATGCATCCTGTCGCATATGCTCACCAGATGCCATGATATGCAGATCCTCACGTACATCTTTTGCGGTTGTGTGGCAGTTCCGATGCTTTTTCCTTGACGGTCTCGATGCAGGTTGTCAACGGTATGTAGATCTCTTTGGTTTTTGATCGCCGTGATGGACACTTGGGTGTGTGATAGACTATTCTAGTAATGTAGGGATACATGGATTGTAACATGTCGGACATAATACACTTATTTATTCTCTCGTCAGACCATCAAAGCGCAAACCGCTGAGGTTGTTCCATGAAAGGAGTTGTGCCCAACACTGGACTGAGCATGGGAACCGGACTGATCTCATCGGGACTATAGCTTTCCTTGAGCCGTTTCCAGACATTCTTGAACGTGGTCGCGCTGCCTTTCTCGTGCAGCAGCACGATGGCCGAGTTACATCCCGGTGGAAAGGCTGCACTCGACGACACAGTCCTGTTCGTCAACATAGTCCCGCGCGCTTTCGTCGAGGTCGAGGCATTAAGAACCCCATTGAGATTCGGAGAAACAAGGTGGCCGCTCGGAACAGACTGATGCTTCGTCGCAGAGCAGTTCGGTGCGGCAGAGAACTCGACACGGAACTTGACGGGCTTCAGAGGAACAACTCCAGCATCGCTCATCTCCTCCACTTTGCAGCGTAGAACCAAAGCCAGGTCTTCATCCACGTAGATGTCCTCCACGTAGCTGAACCCGCTGCCTTCAACGATCACCCCCAATCGCTCCAGCAGCAGACCGACCTCTCGACGCGTCTTTTCTAAACCGTCAGGCGAGTAGATCACCCCCGTGCCCGGTGTCAACTGGGAGCTTCCCCTCCAGCTGAACAGGTTAGAGAACCAGCCCTTGAATTCGCCAACCACAGGTGAGGCTAAACGGGACGCGCTAACCCCGGAGTCGATGGCCGGGGCAATGTTGCCTGCGGTAGACAGCGATAACGGAGAAGTGAGAAGTGAGAGCGTCGACCGTTTTTGCTTCAATGCTGGAAGCGTGGAATCTGTATTGAACATATCCGTTCAGAGTCAGATGTCAGGTGGAAGACTTGTCAGACGCACGCTTTGCCCTTCTTTCCTTGTCTTTCCTCCACTTGGGGTCCATATTCTCCTGGAACACCACATTGCGACCCTCATTGTCCAAACCCAAGCCGCTTTGGAATTCATCTGCACCGACGTAGCTCCAACCCTCAGAGACGCTCTGGTTTTCCTTATCCTCGCGCGGGGATCGCAATTGACGAGCAGCAGCGGAAGCAGCAGCAGCCTGTGCTTTGGCCAGTCCGTTCAAACGTTCAGCAACAGCGTCCATCGTTTTTTGCAGCTCTTCGTTGGCGGTCCTGGGAGCGACCAGGAGTGGCAGATTCCCCTCATCGGCGATGTCTCGCTCCGTCTCGACAGCAATCGCATCGCTGCTCAGTCGCAGACTGAGATCCAGATCCACGCTCAAGCCCAAGTCTATGTCCACCTGCCCCAGTGTGCTCTCCGGTGCTGCAGGAACTGGTGTCGGTACCTGCGTAATACGTGGCGGAGGAGGGGCTGTGCGAGTGCTTTGGCCCATGGTCACATTGGGAGGCAATGTGTGCACGCGTCTGGCGAGTGGCGGTCTCGGGCAACGAATAGATGCAGAAGTGGAAACAGGCCGAGCAGATGTTCCGGTCTTCGACGGAACACTGCGCTGTCTTTGAGGACGGGGTCCAACAGGGGCTGATGTACGATCCTTGGAAGAAACGCCGCGACTCATCAAAGGAGGTGCGAGGCCGGAGACCTGCGGAATCGGGGCAGTGGTCGAGCGCTGCCGGGTCCTGGGCACCGCGACCTTGTTCGTAGGAACGAGGCTGTTGTCTCTCGCGCGTAGCGATTCTTCGCGGTATTGACAAAGAAGAAAATAGAATGCTTTAGCGTGCACTCCTTGTCCCGCCGGGGAGCAGAGGTCGCGCTTGATGGAGGTGCATTCCGCATCCGTGTGACGGCCCCAGATGATGCGGAGCGATTCAAGAAGCTCCGCGTCAATGAGGGATGGATGACCGATGGGCCGGGCAAGGGTGCTGGGAGACGGAGGGAGTGAGGGAGTCGGCGCACAAAGCATTTTTTCAGGGCTGGGCGTGGTACACAGCCATGGGTGAGAGAGGATCTCAGGGATCTGTATTTTAAGGGTGAGTGTGCAAATTTGCGGGCAAGGCGAGCTGCGTACGGTAATACGGTTGGAAACATCGACAACAAGCATCCGGGACAGGAGGTCCATTGCTAATGGGTCGATCCAAGCAGGCATATCATACTTGCCGCTCTTGACTTTAGAGAGAAGGATTTTGACGTTCTTGTCGTCGAAAGGAAGTCGTCCAGTGAGAAGCGCATAGAGAATAACGCCACAGCTCCAGATGTCTGTCGCATTGCCTTGATACTTCTCGCCGTTGACGATTTCGGGACTAGCGTAGTGAGGAGAACCGCAGCTGGTTTCGAGCTCGAGCGAAGGAGGGGCGAAGGCGGCCATACCCCAGTCAGCGATTTTGATGATAGGAGGAGATAGTGAAGCAATTAGGATGTTCTCGGGCTTGAGATCGCGATGGATGATAGAAAATGTGTGAGCGTAGTTGAGTCCGTAGATGATCTGTTTGAAGTATTCCAAAGCCTCGGCGGGAGGGAGACGTCCGCGGTTGACAAGAAAATCGAAAAGCTCGCCGCCTTGAATGTACTCCAAGATCAAGAAGAGCTCGTTCGAGCCCTCGTAGACGTCGTATATGCGCATGATATTCGGATGGTTCATCAGCTTCATCATAGTGATTTCTCGGTCTATGCCTAGGCGTTGTTTCTCGCTCTTCGCCTGTTGTGTTGCCAGGGAAGCACGCGAGTTGGCGAGAGGCGCGAGAGGGAGGATCTTGACGGCAGCGAGTTGTCCAGTAACGCGATGCTTGGCTATCTTGACGCGACCCGACGCACCCTTTCCGACGCACTCACCAAGGACCCAGTGGCCGATTTCCTTTGGATCACTAGGAAGATCGAAAGCACTGACACCACCAGCGGCGGCCGTCTCTTTGGCCCAGCGAGTTCCCAAAGGTGTCGCATACTGAACGGGAGGGGCCCGAGGAGGGCTGCAAGAGACGAACGCCATCGGGGAGCGAGATGGTTTTGATGGGTCAAGATGAGGCACCTCCGCACTCTCCTCGACTAGGCGAGTCGATGAAGGTCAAAAGCAAGGACGCGGACGCGTATGGCGGTCAAGTGATGTCAGTGACGGCTGGCGTGTCATTTGACACGTGATACTATTGTTCGCAACTGACAGGTGTTTCTGCACCATAGAGGTGTTTTCGGTCTGTAGAGCCAGCCAATGCATGTATCACCTTCGGTTTTTTTTTAGAATGAATCCTTATATACTCTGAAATATCTGTGCAAAGTACGAGAGCGATCGGGCCAGTGCGAAGAATTGCTCGACGCTGCCGGCGCATCAAATGAGGTGATCCCAAGCTCATCTCCATAATTCCGAGCTTCCCGTTGGTCGTTTTAGGCCGGGTAAAGACGAGCCATGTATTATTGAGTATCTTAATCGTATTCAAAATGTTCCTCGCCGTTCCGGGCTTGCGATGTGTGTGAGCCAAGGGTGATCAGCCAAAGCGTGACATTTCAAGCTCCGCGCATCAAATGCGTTGATTGACAGGGTTCCCCAGCAGCTATGTTGCCTCATGGATTGGTTTCAAATCTCCTTTCGACTTTCTCTCCCACCTCATGCATACGCGTCTAGTTCCCATTGGACTTGAGATTCACATTATACATCACAGCTACTGTATATATTTATCTACCTACCAATGGCCCCAGGGCCTTTCCACTTGGATCTAGCACCTCCCACATGTCATGAATACATGTAATGTATCTAATTTGAACTTATATTCTTTCTTCTGTGAGTGTCGATGCGACTCAAGGAGCACAAGATGAATTGCCGGTCCGGCCATCACACTGTCATCACTGTGTCAGTGTGACGATTGTGACCACACTTGTAATTCCTTTCGCTCACATCGATTGCAAGCCCGGAACGGCGAGGAACATTTTGAATACGATTAAGATACTCAATAATACATGGCTCGTCTTTACCCGGCCTAAAACGACCAACGGGAAGCTCGGAATTATGGAGATGAGCTTGGGATCACCTCATTTGATGCGCCGGCAGCGTCGAGCAATTCTTCGCACTGGCCCGATCGCTCTCGTACTTTGCACAGATATTTCAGAGTATATAAGGATTCATTCTAAAAAAAACCGAAGGTGATACATGCATTGGCTGGCTCTACAGACCGAAAACACCTCTATGGTGCAGAAACACCTGTCAGTTGCGAACAATAGTATGTACGAGATGGCCGCCCTTGATCATGTCCAAATCTCTGGAAGACCTCCAGATTTCAGATTCGATTGTTACTTGTCACTTATGTCACCGGGTTTTTAGATTCAAGATTCCTATCTGTCACCGAAAGAAATGGAGTGCACATTCATATCCACAAATCAAGTTTCTCAGGTCTCTCTAAGCTCTGGATCGTGATCCCTCGTTGTTTCGTCGAACCACACAGCTACCCTAAGCGGGACCGGGGAGGCGGATAGGAGGACACAGCTGGCCGCCGTCAGGACAGTGAGGGATTTGAGTCTCCACGGTACCACCTGGATGGACGAAACATCAGGCGAAATGTAATACTACCGCTGAGAAAACACACTCACGATCGGTGGTCAAAGTCGGGAATTCATAGTAAGGACAGGCCTGTTGAATATCCCGCGCGTGTTTGGTGGCAGGGTAGCTGAGTGGGTAAGCACTTGATGGAAGCGAGGTGAGTGGACGCTACCTCGCTGGTTTGTTAAGAGCCGGCTTCGGAACGGGGACAACAGCAGAGCAGTCGACAAGATCTGAGCGTCTCGATCCCAGAATCGCCATTTTTGCCATGGCAGCTTTGAAACTGTATGCCATGTAGTCTTGCTCATCTAAAAATGATGGCGTGAGCTTGCGGCGCATGCAATCAGAACGATGAGATTTGCCGATGAAATTTTGCCAGTAACAAGCCGTTCGCGGGTCACGAGCAAACGCAAAGTCGGATTGAAGTCGCATTTCACCCGTGTTGTTCTGATAAGTCAGTGGTAGAGGCGACATGACTTCTCCAGGGTTGTTACCAGTCCCCGGATAACCGGTGCCTTTGAGCAGAACCTCGAGGAAGATTTGGGTATCAAAGTCAAACGGGGTCGAATCAAACGGGGCTGCGATGAGAGTCGTATCGACCTTGTCGGCACGGGCAACAGTGTGACTGGCGAGCAGAGAGACGACCTCGAACGGAGAGAAGTTGCCGGCATCAGCGAAACGATTGAGGATCTTTGTCACAGAGTCTGCGGGTTCCTATTTCTCGTAATCAGCATGCAGCCAAAGAACATTCGGCCGAAAACACGAACCGGGATCAGACCGTCGATGGCAGGAGCTACTGCATTCTTGCGACCGGCCAGGAATTCCAGCCGAGGAGCACCCTATATGCAGCGTCAGCGATGGCTTCTCTCAGGTTTTGTTACGCTTTACCGGGCAGTTTCCAACTGCGACTGCTCCAGCGAATTGAATCAAGTCTCCAGCCGAGACATTGTGACGATGGAGAACGGGGATCAGGTTATTGATACTGTTATCGAGACCGTCGTTTGCACCGTAGAAAGGTTCAACCTGGATCGCATAAGATGGAGCACAGAGGGATAAAAACAATAACATACTGTCGGGAAGAGCAGCATACTGCCATCCGCTCCGCCACCACTGCGAGGAGCGAGTCAGTCAGAAGAGGACATTTGCTACAGAGGAGAAGTAGACTGAACGCTGAGGCGCCTAGGGACTGGCTGATGGCGATTGCATCGTCTGGATCATGGAAGTGGTCAACATCATTATCGCTCGAGAAAAGAGCCCAAGGACGCACGGAAGGTGAGTCGAAGTACCTCGTGCGCATCTTCGCTACAGAGATGCTCAAAGACGTTCTCTTGGAGGTCTTTGACGATCTGAGAGAGGAATAAGCGCTCTGTCAAGATCAGAATTCGCCGACCAACAGGGATGAACGCGCAGCAGACGCTGCTTGGGACGAAGGTACCATCGGGACAGATAACAACGTCGGGCGTTGGCGCAGTAGAGACTGGGACTGCAAGAGCGACAAAAACAGCGAGCGCGAGTGAAAAAGCCATTGGATCTGACGAATTTCGACCGCTGCAGGAAAATAGGACCCGGGGATGAGAACCTGGCTCTTTTTCTCGCCTTTCAGCATGCATTTTATACCATTCCGACTCGATTTTGGAGGAACGATGTCTCATGGATCGTGAAGCCGAATCAAGAGAAATACCACGGGTATCCGACCCTCCCGAGCCGTTTTCGGAGCCGACGCTCAAGTTCATTAGGGACCCAGTGCTGCACACCATTAGGACACAAGCGATAGCCTATTCCACGAGTCATCCTCGTCACGTTGTCGCACTAGATTCGCACTCGCAGATGGGCCAAGCAATCCCAATAATGGTAGTCGTATGTGCCACCGATGGCGATGTCGCCCTTGCGTCTCAGTGCTTGCCGTTTATCTATGCAGGAGCATAAATCAGAGATCCGAGCACTTGGAGTCGGCCTACTGCAGCACAGGCAGCGTAGTATACAACTCACATCGCGTGCATTGTCTTGATTAGGCGCTTCAAGACGCGCGAGATTCAATCGATCCGAAACCTGCGGCCTGCGTGCGGAGGCCTTCCCAACAGAAAAGAACTAGAGCGCGGCACTCCAGAATCATGCTCTTGGTCGCTGTCAATAACCGTTTTGACCACGATACACTGCCGATCTTCCGGGTCAGTTCCCGTCCGTTGCCCGGGTGTTAAAACACCGCACCGCCAGTGTACCGGAAGACATCTATGTCATTGTTTGGACAGCGAATGGTGGCCGTTGTGTGTGGCATGCATGCACGCTGCAGGCTTCTGATAGGCAGTCGAGAGGTCACCCGCGTGCACAGTGTGCAGAGAGAAGCGGCTCAGACCGTGGTGGTTCTGCCGGTTATGGATGTAAGTATTCCGAATTGACTTCAAGAGCAGCGTGAAGCAGCTGAGAGTGATTCGAGTGCAGTGACCTTCAAGTTTGCGGCTTTAAGCGGCTTTCGAGATTAGATCGTACCCCGACACGTGATGAGAACGTGCACAGAAGGTTGAACGTTGCTTTCTATGAAATTCAAGTTCATGTCAGGGCATACGTAGGAGTACAGATCGCAAGACATTGTGCACAGAAGCGCTTAGTGCTTTGAGCTCTGAACATGTGAAGAGTTGCAGAGTAGATGTCGCTTACCGTAGGATACCCCAGCTGCAAGGTTAAGGTTAGACCGATCGTCGGACCAGCGTCTGAGTTTCCGACTACCAGCATCCAGCCTTTGCTCTGGGCTCCGTGCGTCCTGTGGGTGTCCCATAACTTTCCAGATGCGAGGTTTTCTCACAATCGACAGATGCAAAGGGCCGCATGGCCCCTCATCTCCCCCAGAAAGCCCTCTAGCTTTTACCTCCGTCCTCACAACAGAACATTTGTCGCAACGGCCCGGTACTTCAATCTTTCGGATGGATTGGATGAAGGTGCGTTGCTGCATGTCAGCCGGACGATCCCAGTGCTGATTTATTCAGTCAATGGGTCCTCATTGGTTGGCGCGTTACAACGTCCATCACCAAAGACCACCTCACTCGAGACAGACTCGTTACCACAGAAAGCGCATCTTTTTGACGCCCTCTCCTCTTCAAATAGCGCGTTGCAGGGTCTTCCCCAATCTTCACTCGACATCCTCGCCCAAGTCGACCGTACTCTTCCGGCTATATTGGGAGAAGTCGAAACTGACTCGACATCCATATTCGAGGACTGCACCTCAGAAGAATATACGGTCGTTGTCAACGCCTTCCACCCCCCCGCTCCGACCTCTTCCCAAACTCTCGAGTCTCTTGTCTCCCAGGAGCAGGATTATACTCGAGCGCTGCGTCTACTGGACGAGTTGCAGGCCGTAGGGACTATCATCCCTCGTTCACCTATCTATGCAGACGCGGCCGTCGCTGTCTTGAATGCGACTCCCAAGACGGAGGATGAGGCAGCCAACCAAGTACATATGTTGACCCAGTGGGTCTCGCTCCTCCCTGGTGCAGAAGCGCCGGAAGCATTTCGCTCTGTGTGGGAGCACTTGTGCACTTCGACTTTGGACTCAGTCCGAGTCTATTCAGCGCTTGCGCTTCTCGGTGTCGAAAAAGGCTTCGCGAATGAGGTTTCTGCGACCGCCATGCGTCTGATCAGCACGCAGGGCGACCTGTCGAGCATCAAGCACGGCCTAGAGGAGATCCCCATCCGGCACGAACGATACCTCAAAAACTCCAGATGTACCCAAGCTATACCCAAGCTGGTCTCCACACTTCGGACGCAGATCCTGTCAGTCGCCATCCAGACATTGGCGAGGGAAGAAAGATTCGACGATGCTATACAACTTGTGCCAGATCCACTGGAAACGAATCTGCATGCCACTCCCTATGCGTACAACTATCTCATCCACAAGTTGCGCGCAACGAAGAACGACGCCTATCTACCTTATATCCAATTTGTGGCACAGCACAAGTCCGTCGCCCGACTCAAGTCAACGGCAATTCGCAGGTGCCATCCTGAACAGCTTGGGTTGTGCATCCGGTCGCTCGCACATGCTAATCGAACGGATCTGGCCACCGTTCTCCTAGAAGAGGTCGTCCACCTCCGAGTCCCGATAGGCCTTCGCACCTACACGTTCCTGCTGGAAAGGCTGAGGGCTGCGTCGGGTGACGATGTTGTCATTCAACGAATTGCAGAACTTGCCGAGTCGGCGCAGCCTGACGATTCGAGCCAGAGTCCCGACTTCGATTACGGCAAATCCGTTCAGGTGCTGACACGATGTTGGTCACTAGACGATGCTCTTGCACTAGTCTATCTGTATCATCAAAACACCCCCTCTCCGCTCCGTTCCATCCTTAACAAACTGTTGTGGAGACTGTCCGCATCCTTTGATCCTGCATACGCCAAGGACATTGCGAGGCTGACCAAGCTGGCCAAACCACCATCAAAGTCGGTACCGGAGCCATCACTTCAGTACTGCTTGTCTCTCAAAGCAGGCCAAACTTCTGCGTCTGATCTAGCAGCCTATCTGCGGCTTCTGAAAGCGCGTTATCAAGCGCCGAACCCGCACGGGATTCCACAGGTGCATGTTGTATCGCATTTCCTCCATCTGTGCCTGGCTAGCGACCGGCTGCGTGCTATATCTCTTCTGCGTAGCGTTGCCTTCAAGCGGAAGGCGTCTAGGCTCTCGTTCATCGTTGGGGAGATGGTCTACCAGGAACACTGTGGCAGACCTGATCTCGTGCTCAGGACATTCGCTTCCCATTTCCATCTGTCTGGCGTTCCCCGAGACTCCGTGTTGCTTCAGCTCTCGCATCTGCCGGAAGTGGATCCAACGGACTCGATTTGGATATCTCGTCGACAGGTCAAGCTCCACCCGCGGCCGGAGATCACCGCTGTGGTTTGGCGGGCGCTGCTCAAATTGATACAGGACCACAGCTCTCTGGAGAACCTGTATCGCTCTTTGCTGGGGGCAGCCAGGACGGGAAATGCGGAGAGCTCGGTCCAGGCTGGTGGAATGACAACCGTCCCTCTCAGGATACATCCTCACGCAATGACACCCTTCATCCGACGACTGGAAGATGCCTTCGGGGGCGATCGTGGGGTGCAAGTGGTTCGCGAGATGATTCAAGCTGGGGTTCGACCCACGATTGGACACTGGACCGAATTGGGTCGGCTGTATGCAAGGAGAGGCGATGTCAAGCAAGTCATGACCGTATTGGATCAAGTCGAGTTGTCTGCCACCCAGAACCTTCTTGAACTCGACGTCACCTTCTATGCCAATTTGATCCGCGCTTTGCTCGATCGGAACAGCGTCCGAGAAGCACAAATCGTCGAGCAGCGGTTGCTGGCGAGCTTTGAACATCGTGCTGAGCCGGAATCCAGTCTAAGTAAATTCCTTCATTCGCTCCGTAGGGACATCAAACAGGCGCAGGTGTGTTGATTGTTCTTATGTCAACTGCGCCTCGATTGACGACTGTTACAGGTGAGAATCGGAGATAGGGAACAACAGAAAAATGTAAAAAAGACTACATAATACACAATTCATGCCAAATGCAGAATATTGCCATCGGGGACGGGCCCGCCTGAGCCGTCGAAAGGCACGCCAGGTGCGATGCCAAAGGCGAGGGGGCCTTGATTAGTGGTTCCCATCGCTCCAGGTACGGCCATCATCTGCATCGCTGACATCGCACCTTGGACGGGCTGGCCTTGGGCGTTATGACGGGCGATCTCAGCTTTCGCATCATCGATGACTTTGCGAATTCCAACTCGTTCCTGGACCAGGGCCAAACGCGCACTTTCCAGGCCTCTCCGCTCCTCCTCGAGGATGGACTCGAGCTCCTCGAATTGATTCATCTTGACCTCCAGCTTTGTCAATGTCAATTTGATCAGGTTCGCTAGTGACGACCGAATCTGGGTTTCTTCAGCGTCGGCAAGGGCAGCGGCAGCCTTGCCGGACGACTTGAGAGCCAGTTCTGCCGCGCGCACAGCCTGTGAATGCGGCACAGCGCGTTTGCCACCAGTCACAATCGGCGCGTCAATGGAGTCCGTCTTGGAGTCTTCATCGCCCACACTCGTCAGATGCTGCAGAGCAGTCTTGGCACCCTCCGCAGCCACACCAGGGGCGACGACTCCCGCCAGAAACGCCACGACACTCATCACAGGATTGTCCGCCTGTTCGAAGGGAATCCGCCCATGCCGCAATGGACCCATCGACGCTTCCGTGGCCAGATACGGGTCCTCGATGGGCAGAGAAAGGAATTTGCGCACGCAGGCTTGTGCATTCCGGCTCCCAACATACTCTTCGACCCGGCCCCAATCATCATCGTACATTTCCACTGCCTCAAGCAGAAGGAGCACCTCTGCGTCCGTCCAGTCATCTGAAGCTCCTGGTGTAGCCGCACTAAGCTTCACAAAGTCGCCGCTGAACATATGCGATGGGAAACGGCCGTCCAGATAGCAAGGCGAACAGAGCGAGAATTTTTTGTCCTTGAGCGAATGATAGCGTGTTTGCGTGCAGTCTGAGCCACAGGTGTCGCAAGAATACAGACCCGTGGCCGGTCCTTGCGTAGAGCTCGCCCCATTTGCAAGGTTTTCGGCTTCGGCTGCGTCGATGGACCGTGCAGATTTGTTCGAGGTCTGGTAGATGCTCGAACGCAGCTCCAACGATGCTGGGGTCGCCGCTGGCTTCTTGGCACCATTCACAGCAGCAGCTCCGGGATTAGCAGGACGTGTGCCGGGATGCAGAGACTGCAGACCGCGTGGTGTGTCGAGGATGACGCGGAAATGGCCCGTGAATGGTGGTGCCAGGGCAGCCGGCCGAGAGTCTGGGTCGATCTGTTTTAATGGGAGTTGAGTATGAAGAGACCACGAAGGACGAAGAGACACACTTGATAATTGATTAGTCCCCATTGCTCTAAGAATGCATGAACACGCATGATGGCGCACACGTCGCCGGCAAGATTTCGACGGCAGGCGGTGACTGTGAGGTACTCCACAGGACGCAGTCTATATGTGTTGATCATGAAGTCGCGGTAGTCTTTGTATATGGCGGGCGTTTTCGAGCGGTTTCGCGAATTGAAGAACTCGGGCAAAGCGCGCCGCTCGACGGGATGGATTTTCGACATATCGAACCACGCAGAGAACGAGGGTATAATCACCTCGTGTGTCTGCGCGGCAAGATACTTGCGGGCCTGCTCTTCGAGTCGTAAGCGGGTGGCTTCGAGTTGGGCAGGGTCTTCGTCGTCTTCATCGTCATTGTCGTCGCCTTCGTCATCGCCGCCGTCACCCATAGAGACGTCTCCACTATATTCATCATCCCCTTCAGTTTTGAGCTGCCTGACGCGTCCCCCATTCTCTGGACGACTGGCCCATTCTTCAGACTGGAGATTCGCGATATCGGTGCTGGGAAGGGGCTCGAGTTCATTGCGCTTGCCGACAGCATTGTCCAAGTCAACGGGGAGTGCCCCTTGGTCTTCGTCTATACGCATGCGCTTCGAGTCCGAAGCGCCGGGAGAAGGAGAACCAGCGCGTTTTGGCGAGTCCATGATGTTGGGAAGTGCAGGCTTGCTGACAGGTAAGCAAGTGCAAATAACTTGCTCAGCCACATGCTAGGTATCGATATCAACCCGATGCGATGACCCAATTCGTGCAAACTTATAGGACATTGGACTGTTCGAGCACATGCTACCTACTTTGGTAGATTGCGGTGTGTTTCATGACACGAATCTTTAGGATTCTCCCTTGGAGGTTTCTGATGGAAACGATGCCCTGAATGTAAACTAGAGATAAGGAGCACAAATTTGTTGATCTTCCGGTGTCAATTCGCGATTGGAACTGCGATTTTGTTGACACGTAGATTGCAGAGGCTATCATTGCGACTCTCCTCGCTGAGTAGTGGCAGGAAAGCTCAAGCCTCAGCCCGTTGTCAAGGTCGGGAGCACGTGCCACGGCCTCAATCAGCCGCGGTTTGCCCATTTTGTACTGGTCATCAGGATTGGGCTTCTTCTTCACACGACCCACTTACTCCAACAACTCGCTCTCATTTGCGTCGCAAGGGCCTTCGAGGCAGCGGCAGCTTCACGCCAATGGCGATACTAACAGCCGTTCTTGCTCTGTGCGCCCCCCTCATGGCCAATGCCCTCACTTGGTCTTTCACCAATGCGCCGACTCAATGCGCAAACCTGTCGGTATCGGTCAACGGCGGCACACCCCCGTACAGGATCCTCATCATACCCTTCGGCACGACCCCCTTGAGCGGAGGCACCGAAGTCCGCAAAATCCTTGACGAGGCCTTCCCCGGAAACTCTCCGAACACCAGTTTCCAGCTCAATTACCCTGCAAACTCGCAATTCGTCGCAGTTGTACGTTGACCTTGCTCAACCGAAGGTCTTAACACTCATACGCATGCCTACCAAGGTGAGTGATAGCACCGGGTTCGGGTCTGGGGGCACCAGTGTCAACTTGCAAGTGGCGAATTCGAGCGATAGCAGTTGCTTCAATCCCAACCAGAAGAGCCAACCGACCTGGGTATTCTCGATAAACCCGCTGAACAGTATCACCTCTTGCCAACCCACACGGCTCTGGTGGGACCCCTCATCCAATGCACCTCAAGGGTACGTTCATCCGATCGCGGGACCGGTCATTCACGCTGTCCCGTACGGCTTCTTCCATTTGGCATGTTTTCTGAATTCCCGCTATCCAGCACGCCTCGGTTTGAAGGTGTTATCCCCGGCGGCATCTCCTTCGATATACCAGTGACGACGGAGACTACGGTTCCTCAGCAGGGCCTCGGGTTTAATTGGACAGTTTCTTTGGCACCCATGACTACCGTCATCCTCGTAGGCGGGGACGATCGGGGCTTTGGAACAGCCGGCAGTTCGCTCTACATCGTCGGCAACAACATTCAGAGCGATTCGTCTTGCCTCAATAGCAGTAGCCCCAGCTCCACACCAGGCGCACCAGCGGGTGGAGTAGCCACCAGCACCAGTTCAAGCACCAGCACCAGCACCGGATCTTCTAGTCCGAATAGCTCTCAGAAGTAGGCTTCATTGACTATCTGTCCTTCCATTCTAAAGTCAGTTGTGTAGAAGCAACGGTAGTAACGTGGGAGCAATTGTCGGTGGGACAATAGGCGGCCTTACGGGTCTCGTTGCGTTGTGTCTGGTCGGTTTGTTCCTCTACCGGCGACGAAGGTATCACGACGAGGAAAAGAGAAGGCCACGTCCCGATCTTCTGAATGCAGACGAAGGAGACGATGGCGAACAGTCTGGGAACGAACTGCCGCAGTTCTATCGGCCAGAGCCATTCGTGGTGCCCGATCCGACGCGGGCGTCGCTAGGAGGATTGACGGAGGACGAGCGAAGGACGAGCGGTTACCTGACAGAGGAGGGGCGTCCGCTCAGTGGCTACTATGCCGAAAGCCACGCAGGAACTCATGATCCATCCATAAGCATGAGTACCGCGACGAGGAAGACGGGAATGCGGCAAATGCGACCAGTCAACATCATCCAGCATTCCGACGCTGGTCCCAGCCAGCCCCTTGTCGGGGGAGAAGATGATGAGCCCGAAACAGTGGAACTACCTCCTGCATACACGAACATCCCGTCGGGAAGCACGGCCCCGCCGCCTGTAGAGTCTTGACCGTGCCATGGATTGCCACGGTATGTGGCGGCTGAGCTCGGAGATGGTTTCGTTGACCGCATTCTCATGACATTCATTTCTTAACATGTGGACATATCTGATATCCCAACTCGTCTGCTTTCGCCTGTGGATTGCAGACGCTGTACTACTGTATCGTGACCACATCTCCCTCACACCTGTCATCTAAGTACCATATCCTCCAATTCAATACCTTTCCATTGCGGTCCAATCATGCGCGCTGTGCACTGCATGAGGAACGGTACATTCTGGGTTTGCATCTCTTTTACGGCACCCATGCTTGAGTACAAGGGCCTGTCAAAGTAGCTATCAGTCTTCAGTACTAAGTACAGCCATCAAGCATATGGATGCACAGCTTTTCAGGTCCCTCATGTTTTCCCGGAACTGTCAGGATGCACTCAGCAGGCACTTGAAACATTGGAGCTGAGCGACAGAACTTCTCACGGCGCCAAACACACAAGGTCAAAGGTGACTGAAAAAGCCAGCTTTTTTAGGGTGCCGCATAGAATGTGCCGCATAGAATAAGAAACAGGCTTGGGATGGTGCACATAACGGCTCTCCGCTCAATTTACTTGGAGGATTCACATAATTGAGTCAAGGCTCTGTACAATCAGAGTGGAGCTTCAATCCACATGTCAGGTCTCGCATCTGAGCTCCAGACTATTCACAGGTACAAACCGTTGGAAACGCCAGAAACGCGTCGTGCGCGAAACCGGTCCAACAAGTGAAACCCGTGATCGCGTTCCTCAAAAGGCATCTGCTTACTTACCTGAGTGCTACATGCTTCGCCAGCGTCTCCGGTGCATCCATCGCCGAACTACAAAGCCCACTATCATTTATCGCCATGGCCAATCCTCTTCCCTTCCGTCCCCCTAGCATGATTGGCGCTACAGCGTCATTCTATGACCCATCTGACCCCCAACAGTGGCATTACGCCGCTGCCCAACAGCAACATCAACAGGGCTCGTTTGAATTCTCATACCCTCCCCCCAATACGTCCTACGATGAGTTACTGGCTCAATTTTACCAAGCTCAAGCTCCAAGCCAAGCTCCGCCGCCGCCGCCACCTCCACATGCAAATCCTCAGTATCCGCGCTATACCCCGCCCCCCGACTCCGCATACCATCCGGTCAATAAGCCAGCGAATGAACGACCTCGCAGTGTGAACAATGCTCCACCGAGTTCGGCACCTGCTTCTGATGCTTCGCCCCCCTCAAGCACTTCACGGTCGAAACGAAAACGTGTTGCCAAACGTCCTCCGCCACCAGCAGATCCAGCCTATTCTGATCTCAGCGGGGACTCAGACGATGGCTTCGTTTCGTATAGCGGAAGTGCGCCCATCAGCGTGGGTATGGGTGGACTGGGCGTCCGCAGTAAGGGTGCACGCCTGTGAGTTTTTGCTTTCTCCCCCCTGCCTGACCATTCCTGATCTGTTCTCTGTTCGCTCGATTCTTTGCCTGCCTTCTTCCGCCACTGTTCTGCTCCTCTCCTCGCACATCGTTTGGCCGTGATCCCCCCGCTACGCCTATCTCACGTTACACGCTTGACCGTTTTGGGCCGCGCGGCTTCCTGAAACGCACATCACTTCACTTGCGACGGCCCATCGTTCATCTTCTTCCCCGCCCTTCGCGTTTGGCCCTTCGGAACGATTGTCTTCCGTCTGTGGCGCCTTTGCTCTTCTCCGCGGTGATCCTCTACGCGCATAAACTTTCACCCCGGCCCGAACGACGCGACCACCACCGTTATTATGTTCCGCTGATCGATTGATCTTCAGGCCTGGAGCATGCACGCACTGCAAGAAATTGAAAATGAAATGCGATTTCGGGCCTGTGCTCGGCGGGAATGCGGAAAGCGGAGGTGAATCGCCGACCGTTCGTGGGGGGGTGAGCTTACCAACCACGCTCTAGAATTGGACAATACTTGCAGACGATGTCGTGCGCATGGGCATGTGTGCATAGTGGAAGGGAGGAAGCCAAGAAGTGCACCAAAGTGAGTCCGCGCCTTATTCCTTATTCTCAATTTCCTTCTCGTTGCTCCTTCTTGCGGTTCTGCTGGGGACAGCTTGCACTTTCCTATGCGTCATTCTATATGTCTGCCGTGGAAGCTTCAGCGGCCCCAACAGTGCTAGCTGTCGCCCATCCTGGTCATGTGTCGGGCAGGCTGCGTGGTATTCAGTGGCTGCGCGTACCTTTCGAGTGACCACAGGCGTCAACGCGGTAGGTTGACGCGCTGAATGCAAGGAAGCGCCTTGGCCTCCCGATTGCGCAGATAGCGACGTTGACAACATTCGCGGTGTCACTTGTTTTGCACTAAGCTCAAGGGACACCGGGTGGAATATGGATGGATGTATGGCAGTCAGACCCGGCACGAAGCATCTTAAGTCTTCTGGTGCTGTGCGCACCGGAGATTTCGCGTCCGGTCGGTTTCATCACGTCCGTGTTGTTGACAGCATACTCTCTCACGCACGTCCGGTGGGGAGGAATCGGTGCTCTTATATTCCCCGGGCCCTTGGCTAGGAGTCTTTGTTCGTTCCTATGTCCTGGCTGCAACCGGGAAGCTCGGATGCGGTGATGTTTGGACCGTTTCTTGCAGGCTGGACGTTCGCGGCAGGTACCTGACCGTTTTGCTTTTCCCGATTGGGAAGCAGGCGTTGCGCCATCACCGAGAGATTTGAGTGTATAAGAGCTGAAGGCTCCAAATCCATTCGGCCTTCCACGATGTATACGTCGGCAACTCTAAATCTGGCTGACGGACATGAAGAGAGTGATCACCGTCGCCGCTCATCTTCCATGTCAACAGCATCCGACTCCGATACCTCGTCTCCTCTGTTCTCGTCTCCTCCATCTTCTCCCGCGTCGTCGAATTCGGACTTACCTTTTGTGTCCGAATCTAGCAAACGGGAGTATTTGCTGGCCCAGATTCGCCAGAAGGATGCCATCATCGAATCACTGCTGAAGCAGGTTGGTGTCTCAGTCACTGGCAACGACATTTACTATATCCGGAACATTTCAGTTGCACAATCCTTACATCGCTACTCCCCTGTCGATTGCATCATATCGGATGGCAACTTCGCCGTCTGATGCAACTAACCGCAACATTCTGGCCTGGTTGGATCGACTGCAAGCGAGTGTTCGCGCTGGATCCGTCGAATCAAGCGCATCCACGTCCTCGAATCCGTTCGCCGGTGCCTCTCCAGCTCGTAAACCAAACTCGGGAGGCTTCGCACAGTCGGTCAATCGACACTTCCACGCTACACCTGAGGACGATGATTCAGAGGACGAGGGCCCCAGCAACGAGGACGAGGACACAGACGATAATGAAACCGAATTGGGAGAATCATCTGCGCTACCGGATGCCAGTGTCCCCATCGGACTGATCGCAAATTTGAGTCTGAGCAGCAACCGTGGAAAGGAGAAGAGGGGGTCGTCGGTCCCCGGGGATGGATCCGAGGATCTAGATGATGACAATGTCGTGAGCATGCTCTTCCTTTCCATAGCCCTGGCTCTGTGTTCTCACGCTTCTTTGCAGGGTGTTGCCAATGCTGCGTACTTCATGCCGGGTCCAGCAACGGATCTGGACAAACGGGCGCAGCTGATCGAACAACACAGTCCGCCAGAAATTCTTATCCACGGACTGGTTGTGCCGGAGGATGTGGATAGACTATTTGAAATGTGAGCTTTGTGTTCTCCGATGAATTGTTTCCAGTCTGATCTGTGCCGTGCAGATTCTATACTCGTGTCAATGTAAGCCTAGTATAGTTGGGTTGGTTTGCGATATCGTTCTCAACATCACGCTGCGCAGCCGTTTGTTGCTCTTCTCGATCCCAAGTTGCACACGCCTGCATCGACCTTCGCGAGATGCCCATTCTTGTTCACCGTTAGTGAGTACCGGGTCAACTTTCTTGCCACCTCATTTCTCACGCGCTCTAGTCTGTGCCATCTCGTCACGATACTATCCCGAAAAATCGGAAATCTATCCAATCGCTATGCACTTCGCCAAACATTCGGCTGCAAATGCATTGATTGACGGTTGGAAGTCTGTCGAACTCTGCCAGGCTTATATTCTCATGAGCATCTTCGCCGTCCCGGCCCGCAAGTGGGAAGAAGACCGATCATGGCTCTACACTGGGCTTGCCATCCGGCTCGCTACGGACTTGAATCTGCACCAAGTGCCGAGCAGCAAGGCTTTCATCAAGGGCAAAGGAGTCGAGCGGGAGATGAACGAGAGGGAGATACTCAACCGGACCAGGGTGTGGATGATTTGCTTCAATCTCGACCGCTCGACGGCGACACAGTTTGGAAAACCGTCCACGATCAAGGAAGATTAGTCAGTCATGTCTCGTTTCCAATTGAAAATCGACTAATTGTCGGTTCTACAGCATACTGCGTCATGGGAGCGACGACTGGTATAAAAAATCGCCATACAATTCAACATTCGATGTGCACATGTGTTGTTACACGGCTCTCCTTCTGCTCGTTGCGAGATTCCACGACGATATCTTCTCCGATCCCACTTCGCCCAGTGGGCTAAACAAGGTGGGTTTGTGCGTCGAGTCATTCATGAGGACCCGCTGACGACCATCGTAGCACGTGGATTTCCACTCCGTGACCCTCGCCCACGATGCCAAGCTCGAGCGGTTCACTGAAGAGTGGGGGCTTCGTTTGGCCCAGGATTCTGATCCGCATGACCGAAAGTGCCAGCTACGGTGCAAATTGTTCCCTTTGTACGTCTTTTTCCGGTGAGCGTGTGGCGGACTGGAACTTACGTGCGGGAAGCTTGGTATCGTACTCGCGGCTGGTCATGTTCTCCTTTGGGTTCCAGCAGGCCTATCAGCGCGGGCTGCAGCCTGCGGACCATATTTTCTTTACGAAATGCTTGGAATCAGCCCAGGGTGTTCTGCGGGGGATGATCGATGGGTTGGCTCCGACAGGGTTTATGCGCTATGCCCCGGATGGTGCGTATTCTCTCTTTTTCCTCCGCTTCATTTCTCTGCTGAGACGGTGCGTCCAGGCCACTTCATCTTTTCTGCCTTTGCGTCGGCGTTCCTGCTCAAGCTTCTGCGGCCGGAATTCTCGCATTTGATGTCCAAGGAGGAAGAGAACAAGGTGTACGATCTCATCGGACGGCTGATCCAGACGCTGAGTTCGCCGGAGATTGCGATCGACGATCGGCATACTCCCAAGTTGTATGCCCGCTTTTTGGCGGGGCTGCTCTCGAAACATCGGAGGGACGGTGCGACGGTTGGACGATTGCAGCAGACTCAGTCGATTGTCTCCTCCGGAAAGGCCGGCTACGCGGCACCCACATCGGCGTACAGCACGAGGGTGCCTATGGCTGGTGCGGCTGCCGAGGCCTCCGGCGCATACATGATGTATTCTGAGCCGCTGGCTGGGGGATCTGCCTACCACGGCGGAACGCCATATCCCAACTCTTCTCATTTCCAGGCGGCGCAGCCCGAACTGGAGTTCCAGTCGCAGCCAGTGCAGCTCGGGATGGACGTTGAGTTGGGTGCGGGGATGGCTGACGAGGAGCAGATGCTTGCGGGAATGCAGGCTCTGGAGAACCCTGCGTGGTGGGAAAATATGATGATGCCTGGTTTTGTGTGGCCAGACTCGTCGAGTCCCGGATCGACGGGGAATACCTCGAATGGCTCGCCGTCGCCGTATCAGGCTCCGATCCCGATCTACGGCAACGGACACCTGCACGCGGGTGCGTTCCAGGAAGCTCCCCAGTTTATTGCTTGAAATCGAGTCGTGTCGCTGCTCTTTTGCTATCTGTTTGCTGTTTTGTATCACAGGATCTTGGGTGTTTAGATGTGTCTGTACAATTTACGTGTATGTGGAAATGTTTCACCTGTTTGTCCAGTAAACCAGACGAGTCGCGGTCGTAGGCTCCGACTCCCTAGAGAGACATGGCGTCACAAAGACTCTGATTGCATCTTTTTCAGCAAACATGTATGTAACGCTAGAATCCAGAGGAAGAGCCCATATGTGTCACGCCTAATAAACCTATCATCTTCCCTCCACAACTGGAGAATGCGCGAGACCCCGTTGGGATGATGGAGAGGAGTGGTCTGCGCCCGCTGGGTCACGAGACAGAGGCATGCCATTGTTGCAAAAGGAGACGGGGTATGTATGCGGTTCACAAGGCCATTCCATACTGATCGATGAGCACATGAGGAGCCCGCAAATCTCCGTCCTCGATGCAGCGAGAGTTGTTGGCGGAGAATCCGGGCGAGCACTTGTTGACGACGCACTCGCCCTGGACGCAAGCGACGTCAGCGACCCCCGCGAGTGAGGTGCAGTCTGTCCCCGAGCCGCCATAGGAGCAGCCTCCGCCTGCGAGAGACAATGAGCATAAAGCAACAGAAGATCATAGGTCGAACGCACAGCTCTCCAAGTCCGACTGGATGTCGATGCATTCCCACGAGCCGAGGCTCCGGCCCGGCACCCGGCAGGCGCGCTGGCCGCGAAAACATCTGGGCGGGCGGGCAGACTCTCTACGGCCCAGTCCGCTAGTGGAACACCCATTAGGGTACGACCCACAGACGGAGTTGCAGACCGTGGACGGGGCAGGACAAACACAGGCGCTGCTGGTCGCCGTGAAACCGTTCTGCCATCCCGTCAACGGATGTCGGAAAGGGATTACAATGGACAACTCACCAGGCACGAGAACGCACAAGGTATCGTGCTGGTGCAGATTCCCGGGCTGTTGAGACCGACGCCGTTTGTGGGATAGATACATCTGCCGACTGCCTGCGACGCGGAGTTTATCTGACGCGCATGTGTCAGGTCAGGGCTCAGTGCACTACGATATGCTCACGTATTGGGTGAGGATGGAGGTGACCATGGGGAGCCCACCAAGATTGACGCCTCGCAGAGCGGCGGGATTTGTACTGATGAACGACGCCAAGTTGGAAGTGCAGATGCAAGAGTCTTGACGGAGATCGTCAGGACCAGGAACGAAGAGTGTGGAGAACCACGGACCAATGTAGCCAACGTTGATACCATAGATGTTCAGTTGAGACGAGACAGGTCCGCAGGTGTCCGCCAGGGCAGACACGACAGCGCTCGCAAGCACAAGGATGGTCTGCTTGTAGTTCATGGTCAAGCAAGGGGGATCGGACGAGGGACTTGTAGATACCGTTTGTCTTTTATAACTCGAGGGTATACAGAGCAATAGAAAACTCTAGGGTCGAGATCTTCTCGATCAGGAGCCATCGACTTCCGGGAGGGGGGGAATGATGAGCGTCGTTGGAGCTCATAGCTTGAGCGCGTTTGCGCCAGAGCATAGTACGAGAATGATACCGATTCTATCCAGGCCCAAGAATGCGGGGAGTCGATCAATTTCTCTTACCCCGCGCGATCGCAGAGCTTGGCATTATCAGGGATAGGGAGGAAATGGAAGGGGCAGCGATCAGAGTATCCAGCCTCCTCTGAGCTTCAAAGGAAGGATTGTGTGCGTCGACCGAGTCTCTGACGATCTCAACGACTGGATTGAGCAGAGATATTCGACATGCGGTGACAGGGTGAAAGACCGAGTGCCTCGGTCTCAAAGACCTGGATGGCGGGTGTAGTTGTAAACAAGCGGCAGGGATTTGATACATCAATGCACCGCCACATCACAGACTTGATCACGCCTTTCCGGCATTCAAATTCGTCCAAGACCAAGGACTAGTAGTTCAACTTCCATTGCACAGCACAGTAGTGCCCGTTGTGCCCCCCTGTCCCTTCCAGAATCTCCTCACTACTTGACTCTGTATCGTTGACCACTCACCGAGTCACGTTGCGTCAGTCAAGTTTGGGAAATGCCCTTGCTCTGGCGCCCAAGTCCTGCTCTCGCAGTAGCTCTGATTGCCGGTGTGTAGACCCCACCTCCAAGCTCTGCCGTTCTCCTTTTGCAACCTGCGCCTAAAGCGACCCTTGCATTGCCCCCACAGCCCTTGCGATCATCCTTCTGAAACTCTGGGACCCGTCCGCGACGCCATACGCTTCTCGACAACTTCCTGGCCTGAAGGGCAGCAAACGAGACAAGTTTGGACAGGTGTACGAGCTTGTTCGGGATGAGTTGCTGGGAGGCGCATTTGCTCAGATGAACGTGCCGGAGGAGGCCCGAGTGTGGTATCAACGTGTGCGCATATCTCAGCACTGTCGTTGACGCGGACCTCAAATGATCGGACAGAATATGGACTACAACGTCCCTGGCGGGAAACTCAATCGTGGGCTTTCGGTCGTAGACTCGGTGGAAATCATCACAGGACGCGACCTTTCAGACGCCGAGTTCCTCAAAGCGTCCGTCTTGGGCTGGGCCGTGGAGTTTGTACGTTCTTCTCGAAACCAGACGTCACTCACACTCATGCGCGAAACTTAGCTTCAAGCTTCGTTTCTTGTTCTCGACGATGTCATGGACAAGTCCCATACGCGACGCGGCCAGCCTTGCTACTATCGCGTCGAGGGTGTGGGAAGCATTGCCTTGAACGATGCGATGATGTTGGAAGCATCGGTATATCGGCTTCTCCGACATCATTTCCGCGCAGAGCCGTATTATGCCGACTTGATTGATCTTTTTCACCATGTCTGTTCGACACGTTCATTGGTGTCTTGTTCGCATCTGACCTTTCCTCGACTAGACGACATTCCAGACAAATACCGGCCAATTACTGGACTTGATCACCGCGCCCGAGGACGTGGTCGATCTATCGAGAATGTCGATTGAAAAGTGAGATACGAAGAGCTCTATGTGTCTGCAGCTGACCGGAGCTTGCAGATTCCGACTCATCGCCAGATACAAGACTGCATACTACTCCTTCTACCTTCCCGTTGCGCTGGCAATGATTATGACGAACATTCCCTTCGATCAGGCTTCCCTCGATGCCCGACAGCCGGAGATGTCTCCATACGGTGTGGCGAAAAGCATCTTGATTCCGATCGGCGAGTACTTCCAAGTGCAGGACGACTTTTTGGACTTTGCAGGCGCACCAGAAACGATCGGGAAAGTGGGAACCGATATCGTTGACAACAAGTGCTCCTGGTGCATCAACACAGCACTTCAACTTGTCACTGCCGACCAACGTCGAGTTTTGGACGCCAACTATGGTCGGCACGACCAGGAGATGGAGGTCAGAGTCAAGGCCATATTTGAAGATGTCGGTCTCCGAAGTCACTTTGCCGACTACGAACGACGAACCCATGAAGAAATCAGTCTGCTCATTGCACGGATACCAGATGACTACGTCCTCAAAAAAGAGCTGTTCCGACGATTTCTAGATAAGATATACAAGAGACAGAAATGAAAACGTGCGCCCATTCGTGCCGAGACGCATTCCGAACAACACTACCAGTTTCACTCTCAGAACATTGGGACTCCCGACTTGCCATCCGAGCAGGTCCGAGTGCAGTGGTCCAGATCACGTGGGTGCGATCTAGGAACTCGAGAATCATTGAGATCACAGTCGCTGTCTTGTCCCTGAAAAACACTGGAACCGACTACGCGACAAAGTCCCGGTGCCTACTTTCCTCGTTCATCGCACAATATAGACGAAGATGTGGCTTGGGGCGCCGGCAAGGGCTGCACTTACGCCATATCCGAGGATCTAAATCCCACCCTAGTCCGTTTTTGCACCATTTTCCGCATCGAGGCTTGTCTTCTCTCCCCCGGACCGACACTTTAAAGTTATGCTATGACAAGGCGATCAGAGGCTAGATCTGCATTGGAACTTCGCGGGAGTGCTTCAAAGACGGCGCCGAAATCGTTGGCTCGCACATAACCCACGGCCTTCCTTGCTCGCGAGTGGGCAGCTTTTGAGTGGCTTCAACCCATTGTTTTTTCGTCGTCTCTCCTTTGGCCCTACGCCATCCGAATCCAACGATGAGCTCTTGTGAAGGACAGCAGCCGCCACCGCCGACGTATTCGCTCAACGGGAGCCCGTCTCCGCCACCGTCAAGCCCCAACTCGTGCTCGGAGCTGGGCTACGGAGAGTACAAGTTCAGATTCCACGACCACGCTGGGTCACGGTCGCGGTCGCCGTCGGTGGTGGACTCGGGGCTCGGGACAGAATGCTCGGTGTTCCCTCAGCACGCGCCAATCACGACCCCCGCGTTCCCTTACGTTCCGCCGCCGCCGCCGCTTCCGTTTGTGCTATCGCCGTATCAAATCGGCAGCCTCGGGCACAGTCATCCTGACGCACTGACGCCGGGCCGGGGCGCGCGTGATCCGGCGCCCCCACGCACCGCGCAAGAGCGGCGGCGCTCGGTTTCTGCGTTCCCCGACCATCAGGTGGAAGTCACGCCGCGTCCGTCTATGTCGAGCAGTGCCGGGCGGCCGTTCTCCCGGGCGCACAATCCCAACACGCTCAACTTCGTGTCTGTGTACCGCAAGACCCACCGTCACGCACGAAGCTTTTCGCTTTCGCCGGTTCCGAGCAGCAAGTCGTCGATCACGGGGACGTTCGTCGTGGATCCGTTTCTGCGGATCCCGGGCCAGATTCTGACTCCGCTGCTTCCGGGGGAGATCCGGAAGAACCTCGTACTGCAGGCCGAGGGCGGGGGGATCGATGTCGATGTGCATCTCGCTGGTGCGACCGAAGAGCTCAATTCCGACCTCGTAGAGAAGGTGGATCTGCACTTCGAAGTCTGCGGCAGGATGGGCAACACGTATCCGCTGATGGTGAAACTCGTGAGTCTATTGTTTTCTGGCACCTGTATCGAAAGAAAAAAGCGCATGTATCAAACTCGTTTTTCCTCAGCACACCCCCTCGCTCTACCGCCCGCCACTTCACACGAAATTCCGGTCGAAGAACGGGTTCACCTCGATACACCTACCGCCGTCTTTCCATGGGCTGCTCACCATCGTAGTCGAAGCCGGGAACCTGAATGCCCACATCGGTCTCTCAAGATCAATCGGCGCCCACGCGACGCTGCTGCGGGAAGACAGCACCTCGCGGCTGTATTTCATCGGTGTTCTGGACGACGAGTGGGACGGTGATCAGGCCCAAGTGGAAGTCGAAAGTGGGCGCGTGTGGATCCAGTTCGGCGGCGGAAGGGAACGTAATATGGACGTCTGGCGCCGAGTCCGGTGGGAGGTTTTGGGACTGTAGCTTTTTGGTTGCCTGTCGGGAATGCCTTTTGGCAATCCTTCAAATTAGGCTTTTTAGTACATCAAGTACTTCTGCAATCAAACGGCTGTGTTAACGGTCTTCTCGATCTGCCCGTCTTGGGTCACCCATTCGTTCTCGGGACCGGTCACTCCACCGCCATTTCTGCCAGCGAAGAGCGGTGGCTGACTGCGCTTTCTCCAGAAGACGCGACCCCGGAAGAGCTCCTGTTTGGATTGTGTCCAGCAGCTTGCAGAAAACACCAGGCAGAGGGAAATCGCTTACGGCCTGGGTGCCAAAGATCGCGGCCGCCATGATAGAAACTGGCCCGACATCATCAGAACGCGCGGTAGTATGCAGAGGGCGCAAAAAAAACGGACCGATGGTCAAGCCCAGGTTCCAGAGAGGTTCTGTGCCGGACTGCAGCAAGGGGAGGGCGCTCAATCTGGGGATCTGATCGGTGACGACGCCGAAAGCAGCGCGGGAAGACAGACCCAACACCCGCCACAGACAGCACCGTGAACAAATTGACACGGACCAGCATGGACAAAGAGATGTTCGGGTCCGTATTGAATTGATCCGAGCGGCGGAACACAGCTCAATGGCGGCGCAGGACCACTGCGAGCCAAACCGCAGCGCGGCCGTCATACCAGTGAGAACTGGGAACGGCGGGGTAGACCGCGCGCTCTCACCTTCCAGCGGGACGATCAGGATTCCAGTGCCGACGGCGATGCACGCACTGAGCCGAGCACTGCCGGGAGAGACGCTGTCAGGCCATTTGCAGCTTGCCTTCTGGAGGGGGAAGGACGCACGGGAAAGGCGATGTCAAATGGCAGTACAGCTGGGTGTCGACCCGAGCCACGTCCTCCGCTGTCCGGACCGGCTGCAGACGGTTAGCAAGTCCACCCTGGGCGACGAACACGGAAGCGGCGTCGCACGAGCAGGAAGAGCAGGAGGAGCAGCGCGAAGGCTGTCTGTGGGGCGTTGAGCAACTGTCGGGATGTCACTGCGAAGGCCGTCCGAAAGAGGGAATGCTGCGTACGACGCCGACCATTCGGGGATGGATCTTCCTCTTCCCATGGACCACGGCCGAAAGCCCGATATAGAGCTGCCAGGTCAGCAGAATGCTCAGTCAGAGGCCGTCTGATGACAGTACAGACTGACATCGATCACGAAGCAAAGGCCGCTCAGGGTCGGGCTCGAGAGAGGTTGAACTTCCAAGAATGGCGCGTGGATGGATGAACTCCCAACACAGGGACGGCATGGATGAGCCCAGCTTGCACAGCACATAGACCAAACCCAGGCGGCCCGCCCAGCTGGTTGCCGACCAACAGCGTGAACGACGCGCTGTATACGATCCAAGAGATCAGATGGCGAAACCAAAGCGGGCCCCGTTTGATACGCGTCGAGCAGCGCGCGATTAGGACGAGAGACAGAGTGACAAGGCCCGTGAACGAGAAAAGATTGAACAGCAAGACTTCGGCTCTCAGAGCCGCAGCCTGCTGCAGAGCACGCGTCGCTTGCGAACCGGCTGATTCAGACATGCTCAGTCGCGGAGAAAAGAGAACGGAGATGGGACAGTACATCTCCCACCACTTTAAGTACCGTTTTTGTTTCAAAGTTGGATCAACGGGTCACAAATCCCTAGCAATCGCCCGCAACGGTTGCGGTGAATGTTATCCACGGTATCCTGCATCAAGGACTGGCTGGTCGAACAGATTTTCCGCGTGATATGTCCTTTTTTCAGTATCGAGTCGCGTGCATCTGGGTTGTCAGAACGAGCGGCAAGACGTACGTAGTGCCACACTAATCAACACCACGCAAAAAACTTGGAGGAGGCTTCATGTCTGTTGAAACTCTGGGAAGGCCCCGAGATCGCTGATCAGCACAGTTCCGCAATCTCGCTCGAGTGTTTCGTGTGCCAGAACTTTGTGTCGCAGCCGCATAGACGGAACTGAGAGAGACAATCTAACTCACCTTACTACCGTGATGCATCAACGCCAACTGTCACACAAACGCCGAATTCGCTAATGAGGTCAAGCGGCGATGTCCTGATTCCTGAGCGATTGGTACTGTGTATAGGATATCAAATGCATATTGTTCCAACACGTGGTCTGAGACAATGGGAGAATGAAGATGCTGGGATTAGGCACATGTCTCTGCAACGAATCCCTGCATCGACCAGTACTAGTCAGCTCCATCAGTTCAGGCACAAAAACAAGACTAACAGGCCGAGCGAATGTCCAGCACACGCAACTGAGCAGATTCTGGGAGTAAGCCACTTCCATGTAGACAAACATGTAGTGCCACCGTCGCCTGAACATCTCCAGTCGGTGCGGATCCTTTAATTCGGGATAGCGGCCCTGTAGCGAATCGATCAAGGGGCTGTGCCATTTCTCGTCTAGTCGTCGCCCCCATTCCCGAAGGCACCGTGGGTAGTCTGAAACTTTCTCAGTGGTATACCGGACAACGGAAGTAGACGCTCACGGATCGCAAAGTCTTCGATGCTGTCGATGCAGAATCTGCCTTGCAGGGTCTTGTTGAAGCATTCGGCCAAGGAAAGCGCACTGCTCAAGACAGTGTGCGGCCAATGATACTTTCGGATGAAGTTCTGTCCCCTGATGTCCAACGTGATTGTCAGGGCAGGCGATGAACATCGAGGAGCAGACGAACTGGTAGCTAGTCTGGTATCGTTCAGGATAGGTCGTCGCGGTCAGCACGACTGCAGAATTCTTGCTTTTGAGAGCCCAATCAATCTTTGCAGCATAAGTGGGGAGGTATTCTGTGCCGACAGCCTGTGCTGGAATTGAATGGGGGTGTACTCTCGTACGAAGGAAGCAAAAGCACCTCCAGCATCTCTAGAGATACACATGCGTCAAAAGCCTTTTCGAATTCCGGTGGCATGTCGCGGTAGTCCATGAAGTGGACCCTGATCTGGTCGGAAAAGCCAGCTGCCGCGATGCGCTTCTCGGCAAGCTGTTTCTGTTCAATCGAGAGAGTCAAGGTGTCGACTGTGCAGCCCATTGCAGCAGCCTGAGTGCGCGGGTCAATCAAATAGGACGAATCAAATCCGAACGACAAGCGCACGGCAATGGCAATGCTTCCCCAGCCCGATCCGATTTCGAGCAGGCGACCTCCGGCTTCAAGTCGGGCCTTTCGAAGAATGTACTTGATCTTTGTGACTTGCGCGGCCTCTAGATCACCCGGCTTGCGGTTCCCGTCAAGATCACCACGGACACCGCCCTCGTTGGGCGACCAGATCGGACATGAGTACTGCATCTCGGAACTCAGGAAGGCCTGTGAAGCAAAAAAGATGAGCATGAAGCGCGATATGCAGCCGCCGACTGACTGTATACAGGTCGTTCGACGCGTCATAGCCCGCAACCTACAGGTACCGGTATCAACACTCAAATTTGGCCACGATGCGCGCGCCCCATACGTTTGCGATAGACTGGACATGCGAATGGCTGAGCATGTGGCCGACGAAGTGCAGCGCCTTGAACACGCGAGAGTAGACCGACGAGACGCCGGCATGCACGTTGGAGAGGTTGTCGATACACACCTGTCCTTTCAGCCAACCATCGAACGAGGGCGCACCCGCGCACCTGTAGCACCAATTTCAAGTCCGGCGAGTCGATCTCCTGAGCCATGAAGGCCTCGGAGACTGTCCTCTGAATGAACAGGTTGGACACGGATTCTAGCCGCAACCACTCACATCCGACGTCGTACGAGCGGTAGACTCTCAGCCAGAAGCGGCTGTCATTCACGCGAAGCACGGCCTTCCTGGGGACCTTCATTTCGTCTACATTTTCGCCGAAAGAGAGCACAGTGCCATCCGCCTCGATAACCTCGAGACTCCCGGTTGTGACGCCACGCTTGAGGGCGGCAAGGACGACCGTTCGCGCTGCGAGTCAGTCAGTGTTCGCCCGTTCCTAGGATCGCGTGGGCTGGGATACCGTAATGAATGAGCTTCCTTTGGAGCCACGAGCTCGACGGCGAGTTCAGCGTCGGAACTGCAAGGGTGGCGTAAGACTTAGACATGGTTGGGTGTGGAGGTTCTAGAGGATGGACGTGCGAAATCTAAGTAGCCTTCCGCTGCTGCATCACTGCCTCCGGCACTGGGTGAATCTCAAACATTTCACAGGAGTGACCTCGAAGTTGTTTGACAGATAATCGTCTCTAGATGCGTCACCGACATTCCTAATCCCGCACTTAGCGGCCCGCTGATGAATGTCAAGACTGAGGCCATGAGGCATATCATCCCTCCGCGCAAGGTTTTGTCTCTTTGCTATGAGTGGTGGTTGAGGTAGCGCGGCCTAGCTCGAGTCGCAGGAGAATCTCAAGTCACAGTCTGAGAGGAGGGCTCGACTAGGCAGGAGGAAGCTGATTGTGAATTTGTTTGGCACACGTGCTTCGTGTGATACCCGTGACCGCGATGGCGCCTAGCACTTGATGCAAACAGATCCGTCTACTTTTTTCAACTCGGAAAAGTATTTCGCTGAGACGGTATCTACTATCATCGACGAGGTCCTACACACTTCAAGCGAACCTGTGAATACTTACTCATGGTCGCCGTCCCATGTCCTAGTCTCGCGGCTTCTAGTGTGACATCTGCTGGAAATCACGAATGAACTACAAGGCTGTCTTATCAGGCCAGATGATGACCGGACGTTCGTGGAAATCTGCTCCATCCACCCGTTGGAGTCTTCGCAACCCGCTGATGGTGCACTTGCGCGAAAAGCCGTTCGGAGCGCGCGACAGCCGCGCAGACATTCTCCTTCCCTTTTCCCCTTCCCGTTATGTCGTCCCCGTCGCAGGCGACGCCCGTTCTTTTGGAGGACCCTCAGGCTTTGCAAGCCGAGATCACTCTCTTCGACGCATTTTCCATCATTGGACTGCTGTCTTTGACGTTTGTCGTCCTTGTCGCTCATTACTCTCCGAACGTCCACCGGACCCCTCTCTGGTTCCGGCACCTAGTTTCTTGGATCGTGTACACGGCTTCGTTCACACTCCTCGTGGGTCACCAGTTCGGGGGACCCCCTCCTCTCGGGCTCTGTGCTGTTCAAGCTGCGCTGATACACGCCGTTCCCGTTTTGTGGGTCCATTAGTCTCGCACCGCTACATGCACAGCTGCGGCTGACCACTGCGTCTAGCCCGACTTTGAGTGCCTTGTGCTTCGTGATCGATGTGGGTACCAACTGCCTTGCCCTCAGTTCTGTTCTCAGTAGATCACCCAGCTTTACATCGGTTTGTCTGCAATCGTCCAAAAGAAGAGGAAGATACACCCCAACTTGACGGCATTCGTGAGCACGCCATCCCTGCTGGCCAACCATGCGAATGCGACTGAAGTGCCCTCCAAGCTGCTCAGAGTGCCGCAGCTCGTGTTTGTGGTGCTCTTTATCATGTTCCTGGGAGTGCGTCTCGGCTTCGACAGACGCGGACATTTTGCCGATGATTTCACACAGACGATCCAGTCCGCCGGAGAGATCCAGCGTGACGACACGCAACTGTATTGCCATCTGGCGACACCCTCTCCGTGTGTGCCGGCTTTGAGTCTCGCGTCGGGGCTCGGCTCATTTGATGCAGCGCCCGAATCAGTGCTTTGATTGTAATTGCCACCGGGGCGATCATTGTCCCACTGGAAAGTGAGAAATCCCCAGCACGCCTTCTAAATCAATTTGCTGAGGATACCAGTCTGGATTGTCGTCGTGCTTTGTCGCAACTGGGCCGTGTTTCGGGGCTCCGCTCACCGCAAAGACCCCACGGTCTCCCTGTCGATACTCATCCGCATGAATCTCTTCACTGTGCTCTCCATGACGGGCGTCGGGTAAATACCTTCCTCTGAGTCTATTTTTGCATACGCTGAAGCGTTCTCCGCTCCAGGTTGAGCTCTTTCAGTCTCCTCAAGTCTCACACCCCATTTTGGAGCCTAACCCTTACGATTGGTAACACCAAACCCGCTTTTACTGTAGATCATTCCCGTCGTTGACCATGCGCCCACAGTTCCAATCCTCGCTGCTATTATCTTTGGGACGCAAGCGGTCAGTCAGTCCAACACTTTTCATGAATCTAGTCTCACGTGGGAATCAGGACCTGCTCAGCGCATATGTCTTTTGGAGAGAACCGGAAACAGCCCCCGCTGAGACTGTGCACCTGCCCGCTTCTGATCCCGAAGCCATTCAGAGCAAAATCTAGGACGATGTAAGGAGAGTTGGATGACTGTATGTACTAGTAGTACTACTTGGGCGTTATAGTCACCTAAGCGCTATGCGATCCATATCGATAACGCTTATCTTTGATTCAGATCAAGGTCTGCCCGTCAGGTAACTGTTACTGAGGCTTCTAAGCTTCAACTTCAACTAGGACTATGCGCCTTTCACGTCTGGGAGTCCTCTCGGGTCTCCTCTCTCTTTCCTGGGCTGGCGCAACCGTCCAAAAACCCGGACTAGTCGTCCCTCCCGTCTATGCGGGCCGACTTAACGACACGAAGGCCCTGTTCGTCGAAAGCTACGAGGCGTACCGGTCGGTAGAGTGCACGACTCCAACGCAGACCCGAATCTGAGCGGCCATATTCGCAGCAAGTATGCCTGGGGACACGACGACCTAGCGCCGTTGAGCAAGGGATTCGTGGACAGTCGTAGTGAGTGGTTGGTAGGTCGCGACGGGCGGTGGTGAACCTAGGTGTCCCAACAGATGGCTGGGGCTCGTCGGTCGTTGATGCCATGGTGTGTTTTCCGGCTCGTGAAAGGAATATTTGCTGACCCACTTGTCATATCCAGTCTACCATGGTAAGCAATAACTATGCATGTTCGGAAGACGGTTTCAAGCCATCATGCGAAGGTCATCATGGGATTAGACGTACGTCCTCGCTAACACCCATGCGTCCTCTCTTTGATGCGTCTCCCCACGAACTGCAGGAATACATTGAAGAAGCTGTCAACTACACCAGCATGATCGACTTTACCCAGTCCCGTATCCCGGGTGCTGTCAGGTAGCTCGTCTTTGTCGGACTTTCATATCTCGGCGCCGACTTTATGACAGCGTGTTCGAGACCACGATCCGATACCTCGGCGGCTTATTATCGTCGTACGAACTCAGTGGCAAGAAGTACCAAGTGCTCGTAGACAAGGCTAGGGAGGTGGCGGACAAGATGGCCTTTGCCTGGGTCGGGGTAAGCATGTTGCCGCAATCCAGAGCTGCGGCCATTCCTCATATCTCTTCTCCCAGGACAGCGTCATTCCCTTCGGATTCGTCGACTTCGATTCCAACACCCCACTCTATTTCACGGTCTGATCACTTTCTGTTGCGACGTCAGCAGCACAAGCTCACTGAAAGACACAGTCCAACATTGCCGAGGCTGGGACCCTGAGCCTAGAGTGGTACCTGCTCAGCAAGTATACGAAGAACACCACATATGCGGATTTGTCTGTTGCACCCGTCATCCATATCGCGAATCTGGTACGCGAGAAGTGTCAGTCTTCAGGACCAGCAGTCACTCACCTGCTCTTAGCCCTCTCCTCTTCCTGGTGTGACAGAAGCTCTGGATACCCATCCTCTCCTTTAACCGAGGTGTATGCAGGTTTAGCTGCTCAAGGCATCAACCCGGTCACTGGTGAATTTATCGGTGGATATGTGGTAAGTCGGGCTGCTATCTTTCGAGAGATGTAACCAAAGACTTGGCGCGCGTCAGACTTGGGGCGCCGCCAGCGACTCGTACTTCGAATACCTCGTCAAGTACGCTCGCTTAACCAACACCGACAATTCAATCTTCATCAACACTTGGAAGGCATGTCTCACTGGCGAGAACCGTTTTCTGGCTAAATGTTGCGTCAGACCGCCGTTGACTCTTCGATCAGGACTTTGCTCAAAGTGAGTTGGTCTCAATCGGACCAGCGTGTTGTCAACAGGGACGTTTTAGAAATCGACGGTCGGAAACTTTACGTATCTCGCCGATTACGACGACGGCAAGATTCGGCCTATCAGCTCGTATGTCCCCGGGTCATGTCTACGCTGTCGCAGAGATGGAGCTGAACGTTCTCGAGTCACTTGGCTTGTTTCCATGCCGGGAACTGGCTGCTGGGTTCGTATGACAGGATGACCTCCCTGCTCTCTTTTCAAAGCATTACACAGGCGGTCGATTGCTGAACAACCAGACGATTGTAGACATCGCATTGGAGCTGAATGAGGGCTGCTGGGTCAGTTCACATTCACGCTTGGAATAAGTGGAACTGATCTGTCGAGTAGAACTCTTATGCAAGCACAGCGTAAGAGAGCATTTTATGCACACGCCGCTCGCTCGGCTGAAGAAACAAAACAGGACTGGTATCGGGCCAGAAGCTTTTGCATTCATCAGCACCGACAGCAATGCCACCGACGGCAGCGTGTCAGAGGACCAGCTCAAATTCTATTCTGAGCATGGCTTCTACATCACCAACAGCAAATATGTGATGCGGCCCGAAGGTCTGTGGCTAATATATCTTGGGACCCTCTCACACGAATTCTATTCCAGTGCTTGAATCGAACTTCCATGCCTGGCGCGTGACGGGGGACACCAAATATCTCGACCGCGCAGGCGACGCGATCGACTCGTTTTTCAAATATCTCCCCGCGCCCGTCGCCTATGGTCCGCTCGTGGACGTCAACAACGCAACTGGTGGCCTGATCGATGACATGGAGTCGTTCTGGTTCGCAGAAGTGCTCAAGTATCTGTGCGTGTTGCCCATCCGCTCCTAGCGGACAAGAACTGATTCTCTGCAGATACTTGACCTTCGACGATCCCGACAACATCAGTCTGGATAAGTGTCAGTCTCTGTTCCGTTGAATGGCGAACAATGGCTCATGGAAGGCTCAGATGTATTCAACACCGAGTGCCAGCCGTTCGAGGCGCCTCCCGCGCTCAAGTCGTATGACACGCCGGGAAGACTGACTTTCGTGGCCCAACAATCTTAAGTAACTTCGTCGCGGTATATGTCGAATACTGGGATGATTCTATCTACCCTGAGATAAGATAAGGACTAGTTCCCGATATGGAACGGCTACGTCACTTGGTATTCCTCCACCAATATCCAACGAAAACGACACACGATGTCCCAGGTTCGTTTGTGTATTTGAGCAATGAATTTCTATCATGAACGACGTTCAGATGTGTCAAGACGAAGGTCTCTATCTCTGGTGCCATGCGCTATCCTCTTGTTCTCACTCGCCACGCTAGCTTGCGCACTCCAATCCTGCTTGAACAAAAACACGTACAAGCCAGAGAAATGTGACGAGCATCTACGGGCGTTATATATGTGCTGCCAGACAATGTACGATGCAAACGAAAAGGCGGAAAGCACCGCATGTCCAATCCCCTCTGTAGTCAAGAGATGGATCAAGGACCACCCCAAGAAACCCTAGCGCTACACGAGTCTGTCGACTGTTTTCTCCTGGAATGTGCCATTACGAACGATTTGAATATTAGTACAATGGTATACTGGGGGCTAGAGAATGATGACAAGCAGCAAGAGCACTGCAAGAATTATGATCAGGAAGATGATACAGTATCCACTGCCCTTTTCCTCGGACTGCCTCATGAACCGCTTCATGCGGTTCATCGCATCGTCAAGTTTTGAGTCGGTCCGGTCCACGCCACGTTCGAGATCGTCTAGCATTCTACGAAGAGTCAGCGATACTCGGGGGATGACAACAAGCTGGGACGCACTCGTTGTGTTCGAGAATCTCCTGGCCCATGAACCCAGCCTGTTGCGCCAGCGTTGTTAATGTCCCAGATATAGAGTCCATGGCTCGGTCTTGCTCTTGCATCATCATCTATGTGTCGACCTCGATCAGACACGGCGCACCGCATGGATGAGGACAACGCGCAAACACACCTGCTGCTCCTGCCGCGACCATGCCTCCTGGTGGTCTTCGCCCCGCTCAGGATACGGAGAATGTGGTCTTGACGAAGGCTGCGATTGCGGCAACGGACTCGCTGAGTTGACTTGCGCTCTCATGTTCTGGACTTGCAGCAGACGGGTTAACGGGGAGGGATGTTTAGCGGCACGACACGACGCACATCAATCTCTTTTCGGACTTGCACGACGTAGCGCCGTCGGTCCTGGACTTCCAGATCATCCAGCCCGAACATACGAGCATCCGTGGATTCCACGATTCTGCGAAAGCGATTAGTGAGGGTTTCATGCCAACTTTGCGAAGCAGTCTCACTTGACGCTTTCTTCAAGGTCCTCCAAGTCAGCTTCGAGCGCAGCCAACGTGGCCTTGAGCTGTGCAAGTCTAAGAAAGCCGTCCGTTCAGAGATCGACGGGGGGTGCCCACACCTCGTTTCTCGCCCAAATCAGCTCCTCATTGTCCTCCCGCACGGCCATGTTTCGTATTCGGACATAGGACGCGCGGAGCTGTGTTGCTGCCTGCAATGAGTTGGAAATTTCGCGTTGGACTGCGTGATACGGGTCGATTGACATCGTGCGTAGTAGTCAAGTGGGGAATGCTGAGTCAGCGGGCGGGACGCGGTCACATGTTTTATTCGAGCAGAGGTAGAGTGTGTAAGTTACAGTTATTTGTAAGCCAAGTACTTAGATTGGAGGCAGTACATACAGAAAGGGTATAGGTACTAATCAAGAATATCCAAGCAGGAAACTGTTCATTCATCGACGAGCAAAAGATCGGGTGGGGCGCCCGAGATGTCCACCTTTCCCTTTTCATTCATTTCCGCATCCTTAGTGCTCGCGTTGACACCGGCAGCATTGCAGGCCTGCTCCTCCTCGGCACCGAGCCCAAGCGGGTCACGAGGGAACCACACGACACGCTGAGGCCGCGATGCAGCGGGGTGTGAGAAACCATACTCGTCTTCCGACCTGAGACGGTGGGCGCGGTTCTTGGTGTCCTCCGTCAGACCCTGCGACTCTTCAGGCCGTTTGGTCTCCATCATCTCGTGGGCCTCGCCAGCCTTGCTAGTCTCAGCCCGATCGACCGGGGCACCGCCAGCGTACATCTTGTCCGCAAGACTGAGCGGCAGAGCGTGCAAGAGTGGTCCGTACGAGTTGTTGATGAACAGCTGGAAGATGATCGTGAAGATGATCAGTACGACCATCAACGCGCCCTGACCAACAGACGAGGCCTTCTGGTTATCGTCCCGGGCTAGGAAGAACAATCCAGCCAAGCAGAGCTGAATATTGATGATTGAGAAGCTGCTACCACCATGCATTGGCAGAAGACGCACCTCTTCAATGTAAAGGCCAACAAAGATGTGGCTGATGGCTTTGGGGAAAAACAGGCCACCAGTGTCCGACGAAGGTGGCTGCTCGAACTGGTACAGGAACAGATATTTGTACAGTTCATAGAACGCGTAAAAGGTGAAGCAAGCGAAGCCGTTGATGACTGGAGATATGACCGAGTATACGAGTCCTGGAAAATGTTCAAGGTCGGCACTGGCAGAGTTTCGACTGCAACGTACCGATAACGACAATGAGGGTGATGCCAGGGAAGGTGGTTCCCCATGCGATATTTCGGGCGCCATACTTGATGTCATAGACCGAGCGAGGGGTGCTGCCCAGCAAGAAGAGCTTGACGTAATAGACGATCAGGGGAACGATCTGCAAGAATCCACCAGCAGTGCCCGAAAGACCTTGCAGGAGGATGTATCTGGAAGTTAGGTTAGCGGATTGCATCAGAGGCTCGACATGAATGAACTTGCGTCAGGAAGAAGATCGAGGCCGTAGGTAGCTTTTGGGAAAGTAAAGTTGGAACAGAGCCGGGGTTCTTCAGTAGACCGGGAAGTGCACTGACAATGCCGGAAGAGATCGTGACAATGAGGAATGAATGCTAGAGAAAGTCAACTTGTCTGAGCTTTGTTTTTGCTGAAACGACACATACCACAACTTGGAAGATGAAGTAACGGGTCATAAGACTGAGTTCGACAGCAGTGCGTTTGGGCATTCCCTCCATGACAGCAAATTGACGCAAAACAATGGGCAGCAGCATCATAAGCACGGCGAGCAAGACGGGTGGCAGTATACCGCTCAAGATTCCAACGACGACGGGAGGCAACTTGCAGATCCAGGCCAACCAAGAAGCGGTGGTGCATAGCGAGTGGACATTGGAAACGAGACCGACGAAAGCGACGGGGATAGACCAGAAGATGATGAGAGCCGCGGTAGCCGCATACGAGATCAAAGTACGAATCTATGGACTATGAGATCAGCACGAATAAACAGGAGACCGTAACGCACCTTCATCTCGTAGGGGTTCATGCCCAAGTTCGACCAGATAACGTCCTGAGGGGCAACCTCGGAGAACTTCCCGGCTGGAGAACTGTCATCAAAGGTTCGATGACCTGGGAAACAGACACTCACTCATGCGGTAAGGCTCATGGTGCAGCAAGATATTCTCGGCCATATGCGCGGCGATCTGTTTGTTGAAAGTCACGAACGCGCTGTTCAGCACAGGATAGGTCTGTTCGGACATAGCACTGATTTCCTTGTCGGCATTCTCCTCTCCTTCACCAAGCGGGAACCCGTCCTCGTCCTCGAACGGTGTCTGATTCGGATCACTCAGTTCTTTGGCCATGGCACGACGCCCTTCGGCAAGCAGTCTGTTGCACATGGCGATTTCCTTCCGAGCCCAGTTGATCGAATCAACCTTCTCGCCGAAAAGTCCGAGGAAACCAAGTTTGTGAGTGGGTCGGTCGGCCTCAGCGACGACAGGAGCATCGCCACTTTGCTCAGCATCCTTGGTGCCTGCCTTCGTGGCTTTCAAATGCGACTTGGCAGCGATGGAAAGCAACTTCGTCTCGGCCGCCTCGAGCTTGCTGCAGGCAGCCGTGCGCCGATCGTAGATATCGGGAAGGGTGCGCAGGTTGCGGTTAATCCAGATACGCTTCACGCCGCCGGGGAGGTCTTTGAACATGGCGTGCAACGCGTCAATCGTGAGGTAACGGGCCGGGATCCCGGTAAAGAGCACAGTGTTAGCCTGCACACTTTTCGCATGGACCGGGCTGATTAAAAATTGTTGACGTGTGACGACGAAGTGGCTCATTTCTAGCCGGATGTTGTAGAACACCCAGAACGTGAAGACCCAAGCCATGACCAGATGTGCCCAGTACCGGTGCTGCTTGTCGGGTTGTACATTTCCGAAGCTCAGCAAGTCGAGCTTCGTGTTGGTGCCGACGTGAGTCTTGACTGCGGTGATAGGAAGAAGAATGGCCCATGACAGGATCCACATCGGGAAGAAGACGCGCGCCATCATGCGAAGGAACCGCACGAAAAAGTAAGCGTCGCCTCCATTGGCATTGAGGACATCCTTGTAGTCGGCTTTGAACACAGCTAGCGGCCAAGCTAGGAAGGATCCCGACCCCGTCAGTGAGGTGACTCGTTTTCTGAATTGAGAGCGTCAGCATTTTGAGAATCTTAACTCAAGGCAGGCGAGTAAAAAGAGCATCGTTCGATCCCCTAACTAGCTTTCCTCGGATCGCGATGTTCCTCGGAATGCAGGCGAAAGGTGCGTCATGATACGCAAGCTCCAATGCGGGAGGCGAAGATCAGCACCCCTACCCATGTGGAGTGACCTGAGACACCACAAGAGCTCTGCCCAAACACGATCCACCACCCATCCCAGAGCCAGAACCACAGCCCGCAGAAAAGTCGGCAAAAGGGACTCACGAGGGTACGGGAACGTAAGTTCGTGGTTCATAGATAGCTTTGAAATGGGGACGAATGATTGTGAAAACCGCAAGTTCAGCGCCAAAGACGATAGCATTGAAGACGAGCGCAGTGAGAAAAGTCGACGTCGACGCGGTCGTTGCGCCCGACGTCGAAGACCTGTGAGTTGTGGTCAGTCGACCCAGGGAAGGACTGAGCGAAGAACTTGCATGACGGTTGGTTGAAAGAGGGGGGTTCAGATCGGTTTTTATTGGCGGAGACAGCCGTCCAAATATAAACGTAACGTGCTTCGATGCACTCTGTTTGCAGGTATGTGTTCGCTCCAATCTTAGTTCCGCTTCTCACACACCGTCTTGTCTCGCCTCCTCAAGGAACGATCTTGACTCACTATGACTCCAATCACGTCCCTTCCGGTTCGCTTCCTCGTTTTGCCCAGCAATATCGTCGAGCGGACTTTGAAATTTCTTCTCGATACGATCCTTTCTGTCAATTGCCCATCGATGATCGCGGTGACTGTCAAAACCTCGGTGGCTGTACTGGTATCGACACGTGTTCGGTAGAAGTTATCTTTGTCTCTCTCTCGTACATAACTCGCAGGAGAGTTGGCAGTTTCAAGCTTCGAAATCATCTACTCTCATCGCCTCATTGCCTCTGTCGATTCCTTCGGCCGCGGGAGTATCATTCCTGCTGCCGTATGTCACTAAAAATTGCTCTTTGATGACGATGACTGGATCTGACCTGATCTGACATAAATCCCTTACTTCGATCCTAGCATAGCCATCCTGAAAGCACCCGGCACCCGGTTATCAAATTGCTCAAGCGCTCGAGTTCAAATTGTTGTGAGGAGTAGTAGACCGCCGTCCTTGATGGAACACCAATTCATCTTTGTCGAGCACTCAATTACTTCAGCCCAGATTCTAGCCTCATCCCCTACCACTTGGACTCGTGGACTGCAGGAACCTGTGCCTTTTGAATGTAGTAGAGATCTCAGTCCGCGTTTAATCCAAGCCGGTTTAGCTGTCGATTCAAAGCAAGAACTCCGCACTCAAGTCAATTATAAAGCGGGTGAATTGATGCATGAGCTATATCCTGCCGCCTCACCAGCCTCATTAAACTATCTGTTCATCAATCATCATACGATGATACTGAGTAAACTGGGTGCAATGGCTCACCTATTGATCTTCGCTGAAGATTTCAGCGCGTATGAAGCCTGGTGCGAAGCCCGAGACACGAACATCGAGCACCCGAACTGCTTCTTCAATTTAATATCGAAGACAACTGTCGACTGTAACACATGCCCAGCTCGAGCTGAGGATCAATGGCACGTACAAACACCCGCGGTCGCATTTTGTCTCACGCTGAGACTCGTATTTTCGACAGCGAATGCAACCACTGATTTGAGTGTTAGTTCTGTTCGGTCTTCCCCAGTGCTAACTTGCCCCTGCAGCCAAATCAGTCCACTCGCTCATCTATTTCCAGACTTCTGGGGCCTTGGGTGACACTCCGCAGGGCGCCGAATTCAATACGAACGCGTTCGAATCCACTCCACTGCGGTCCTTTGAAAATGCCAAAGCATTGAAGGCCGATTATATGAATTGTCAATCCAATCCCAGACCTCAGACATCTTGACCGTCGTGGCAGACCAACTAGACCGATCAAGGGCGCATGCTGATTCCCATCGTCTCTTGTAAGTGTCCGCCGTGTCTGACGCGGATGACTCGAAGAGATCGAGCTACAAGGTGGCAATGCTTACGCAGCGCGTTCAGCTGCAACTCGGGCCAAGCTAAATCAAAGGACGCGGCTGTCAGAAAAGCTGTGCCCGGTCAATCCAGCGGCACCGGCAAGGCCACACACAAGGCCTTGAGGAACGGATCTGGCGATGGGTCTTGGAGGTGGCGGCAGTGCCTGTGGATCAACCTGTAGCAAGTCAGGCGAGCGTGCCTAGTGGTAGATCTCACTCAGCCCTGCAACATAGCATACATGCTTATTACATTGCTCATTCCCCGATTACACTCCTCATAACACCGTCTTTTATCTCTATGCCACATAAAACATCTTTGTGCCCGCAGACCAAGTACCATCCGACTTCGATCCATCGGGCTCATCCGGGCTTCTCTAAGTTTCCTTGCGTCATCGATCGAACCTATCTTGTATCCATCTTCATCTCCCGACCATGAAGTACGTTCGTCTCGGAAACAGCGGATTGAAAGTCTCTCGTATCATCCTCGGGTGTATGAGTTATGGGTCGCGTGGATGGCAAACCTGGGTGCTCGAAGAGGAAGAGTCGCTCAAGCATATCAAGGTGCCGCTCTAGATTCTCGATACCGGCAGTCACTCTGAGCCCAATCCATCCGCAGGCTGCATACGATGCAGGAATTAACACATTTGACACAGCCAACACCTACAGCAACGGTGTTTCTGAGATTATCCTGGGTAAAGCCATCAAGGAGTTTAACCTCCCGCGGGATGAGATCGTCATTATGACTAAGGTGCGCAGATGTTCAGCCTCGACGGTGATGGGCACAGCGATGAGCATTGTATCCTTGGCAGGTGTTCTTTCCCACCGGCCACACCGCCGACACACCCGCTTACATGATGGACCCGGATGCAAACGGCTACGTGAACCAACACGGTCTCAGTCGCAAGGTCCGTTGGATTTGTCTTTTGCTCTCGTATCCATCAATTCATCACGCGTCTCAGCATATCTTTGATTCTGTCAAGAGAAGTCTGGAACGTCTCCAGCTTGACTATATCGACGTTCTGCAATGTATGGTCGATCACAGCATCCGAGATAGCATCTGTTCATTGGCGCATTGATTCACCCCACAGGCCACCGCTTCGATGAAAACACTCCGATTGAAGAAACGGTAGGACACACGTGAAGCCGCGATGTTCATGGTTCTCAACATCCGCAGATGCAAGCCCTGCATGACGTCGTCCAAGCGGGATACGTCCGGTACATCGGGATGTCGTCGTGCTGGGCCTGGCAGTGTGAGTGGTTCCGTCGCGATGCTCGTGCATGCTTTTGAATCTTGAATTGTCTACAGTTCACGCGATGCAAAGTGCGCTTGTCCAGAGTCCTTCTCTCCTGCTAGATTCAGATGTCCTTTCGACAGACTATGCCATCCAGAACAAGCTGACCCCGTTCATCTCGATGCAAGATCATTACAGCATGCTCTACCGCGAAGAAGAGCGTGAGATGTTCCCCACTCTGAAGGTTCGCTCGATCTCACTTCAACTTACTGGCTACATATTTCTGAATCACAACAGCATTTCAAAGTCGGCTGCATTCCGTGGTCACCCCTGGCCCGAGGACTCTTGACGCGCCCGCTCTCAGAACAAAGCAAGCGTGGTTCGGTTGATCGGTAGCGGCGTTCGATGGGAGGACACTAGCCAATGTTGACCGACCAAATCTAGGACGATTCCGGCTTTCCATAGTGAGGCCACGACCAACATCATCAACCGAGTCGAGGAACTTGCCAAGAAGAAGGGCAAGACTATGGCCCAGATTGCGCTCGCTTGGGTTTTGGCTAAAGATAGTACGTGCCATCGATTTGTGTATCTCGCGCAAATCCCGTTTGACCCGTTGGGACTTGTAGTGGTGACCGCTCCGATCGTTGGAACAACTTCGTTGGATAACCTCCACGAACTCCTTGGTAAGGCACAGAATCCAGAACCGGTCGATTTTGCGGCTGATTCGAGACGTTCCATAGCTGCCACCGAGATAGAATTAAACGAGGAGGAAGTCAAACATCTCGACGAGCCCTACCAGCCGGGAAAGGTTATTGGTCATTCGTAAACACTTGATGTAAAAATTCAATGATTGCGAGCGAAGCGAGCATCATCAACTAAGGGCTGCAGCTCGCACAAAACAAGAACAAATTCTCCGTACGCATCAGAAAATGGAATCCAAGTTGAACCGTCTCAAACTCGTTCAATTGTCTATATTTCTCTCTGAAACTTGGCAAACGAGTTTGAATACTATGCACCCTACAAAATCTCAACTCCCATTCAAAATAATGAAGAATTGAGCCTGGTCAAACTGTGCACTGAGCACCAGCCTGCACTCAGCAAGTTCTGCTCCATTTTCTTTGGGAGTTGCACAATAAAATGCTGGGTGCTGTTTACCTATAATCCTAGACTTTGAGATGTGTTGCACTGAGCACTCTGTCTGTTGCTGGAACTTGAGGCTGCCGCCTTCCCACCAACCGGTCACGTAGGATATTGGGATCAGTACGGATTTTGAGCTCCATACAATTGCTTTTGCACATAGATATCCCCAATATATCTAATTTGAGTGCAAAAATATGACTATGTAGTCTTCGAAGCGAGCACCCGGCGCTCTTGCGCGGATTCTATTTCATGTATTGTACGGTTGAATCTCGTTATCGATCACCCAACCAAAACCATCACGTGTTGTGCGCTATGGTTTAATTTGTAGGGCCACACTGCTTTGCATCGGACCGCGTTTCTCGAAGGAACACACGACCGTGTTCCTGTCCTGGCCGACGCTTAGTGGCCGACTCTTCGACAGTACGCGGTGGCTCACCCCGATCCGATCCCCCAAACGACGACAGCACAGATCCGCATTATAGATACAACTAAGACAACATTGAACAGACAAAGGCGGGGGCCGAGCACGAGAATATCGCGTTTCTCCTGGTCGTACAGTCGGCCCTGCAGCATCGCATGCACGCTTATGACATCGCCCATTCCCAACTACATATACTTACTCTTTGTAACACCGCTTTTTGTCGCTGTACTATACACACATTCTTTGTGCTCGCAAACCCAGTATGTACCATTCGACTTGAATCCATCGGGTTCAGCCGGGCTTCTCTCTCTTCCCTGCGTCATTGATTGAATCCATCTGGTATCCATCTTCATCTCCCGCCAACCATGAAGTACGTTCGTCTCGGAAACAGCGGATTGAAAGTCTCTCGTATCATTCTCGGATGCATGAGTTATGGGTCGCGTGGATGGCAAACCTGGGTGCTCGAGGAGGAAGAGTCGTTCAAGCATATCAAGGTGCCGCCCTAAATCCCTGGCACCATCATACTCGTTCTGAGCTGCACCTATACGCAGGCGGCATACGATGCAGGAATTAACACATTCGATACAGCCAACACCTACAGCAACGGTGTCTCCGAGATCATCTTGGGCAAAGCTATCAAGCAGTTTAATCTCCCGCGGGACGAGATCGTCATTATGACTAAGGTGCGCAGACATGCAGCCTCAGCGGTGACGGACACAGCGATGAGCGATGTATCTCTGGCAGGTGTTTTTCACCACCGGCCACACCGCCGACACGCCCGCTTTCGTGGCGGATCCGGATGCGAGCGGTTACGTGAACCAGCACGGTCTCAGTCGCAAGGTTCGTTTAGAATCCCCGCGCACTCTTCCATCCACCGATTCATGGCCCGTCCCAGCACATCTTCGATTCTGTCAAGAGAAGTCTCGAACGCCTCCAGCTTGACTATATCGACGTTCTGCAATGTATGGTCGATCACAGCTTCCAAGATATCTGTTAACTGACTCATCATTTCACCCCACAGGCCACCGCTTCGATGACAACACCCCGATTGAAGAAACGGTAAGACGCACTGGAAGCCGCCATGTTCATGGTCCTCAGCATCCACAGATGCAAGCTCTGCATGACGTCGTCCAAGCAGGATACGTCCGGTACATCGGGATGTCGTCGTGCTGGGCCTGGCAGTGTGAGTGGTTCCGTCGCGATGTTCGTCCATGCGTTTGATTTTGAACCGTCCACAGTCCACGCGATGCAAAGTGCGCTTGTCCAGAGTCCTTCTCTCCTGCTAGTTTTAGACGTCCTTTCCGCAGATTACGCCATCCAGAACAAGCTGACCCCGTTCATCTCGATGCAAGATCATTACAGCATGCTCTACCGCGAGGAAGAGCGTGAGATGTTCCCCACCTTGAAGGCTCGTTCCATCGGACTTCACTAATTGGCTGCATATTTCTGAATCACAACAGCACTTCAAAGTTGGCTGCATTCCGTGGTCACCCCTGGCTCGAGGACTCTTGACTCGCCCGCTCTCAGAACAAAGCAAGCGCGGTTCGGTTGATCGGTAGCAGTGTTTCTTTGTTGGCACACTATCCAATGTTAACCCCCCGGTTCAGGATGATCAAGTCTTTCCATAGCGAGGCCACCACTAACATCATCAACCGAGTCGAGGAACTTGCCAAGAAGAAGGGCAAGACTATGGCCCAGATCGCCCTTGCCTGGGTATTGGCTAAAGATGGTGCGTGCGATTCGTTTATCTCGCGAAAGTCTGGTTTGACACTTTGTTCATTGCAGTGGTGACTGCCCCGATCGTCGGCTCGACTTCATTGGATAATCTTCACGAGCTTTTCGGTAAGGCGCAGCTTCCAGGACCTGTCGGGTCAGCGACTAATTGGAGACCTTGCATAGCTGCCACCGAGATCGAATTGAGCGAGGAGGAAGTCAAACATCTCGACGAGCTCTATCAGCCGGGAAAGATCATCGGCCACTCGTAAAAACTACCCAGATTCAATGTATATGTACAACAAATGAAACAATGTGGATCACAGAACTGTTCTAAAACTTGGCTTTCGTTTTGCCGGCCAGGAGCTGGACGCTGGTCCTCTCGAAGAAGTTGGCTTCGTCAGGGAGAACATTCTTCGCGCTCATAAGTCATACACCGCTTCCGGACGCGGCGTCTCTTACCTGCTTGTATTCTTCCGATTTGAAAGTGCTGAGAATGTCATCCAAACTCTCCGCTTCAAACTCCGAGATCCCGTCGTAAGTAGCCACGGTAATCCCGGCGGCGGCGAGGTTTTCGCTCATCGCGGGATCCACATGGAACTTGAGGGAAAGTCAGAATCCCTTACCCGCTCCCGCAAAATAGCCAGCACACTCCAGAATCTCACCTGCTTGTATTTGACCTTGCCTGTCTGGACGGCTGAGAGTGCCGCAAACAGCGGACCGTGTATGTTCGCCCAATGGGCATCGAAGTCTTCAAATGAGATGTGCGGTAGACGCTTGACGAAGACGAGCACTCGGACAGGCATGGAGCAAATGGCGGCACTGAGTATGCCAATTCGAGTATCGTGATAGTAGCAAGTGCGGTCACGGTCTGCCCGAGACGACTAGGCACAGACACAAGATGTCAAAGGAGCAGATGGAACGGCCGTAGTGGCTAGCCGAAAGAAGCATGGCGCTCGTGACTACTTGAAGGCTCTGAGAAAGTTCATAGAAGTCCAACCCCAAGTGCATGCATCGAATAGCTGGCACGATCACATGACCGAGCATGGGATTGGATATCAAGGACCATGAACAAGACTGTACCTACCACATTTCTAGAGGTCACAACGTTCTCGACGATTCTTAGATCAGTCTTAGCGTCTCGAATCGTTGCCTAGCGATTCACGTATCGGTCTTAGCGTGTCAGTTTGCTAGGCTTACATATAAATTTTCTGCAGTAGATCGAGTGCGCTACTACTCTAGCAACTCTGTACTTTGACTGGGTATGAGGTAAATATCTTCATCCCCCAAAACGTCGATACCATGTCTAAGCTGTATAAGCTTCTTGTATGAAAAAAAGAGGAGTCGGACTGACGAGGATTTCAGGTGCGACCGCAATCCGTTGACAAGTCGCTTTTGTAGCTTTCTACGCTCATGCCCATTCTTGGGATCGGGTTTTCCCTGAACACAGTGTCGGCATCCATACAACTGTTCGTCGCGCTTGGCCAATGGCTCGAGATGATCCCGCATGACCTTGAGTCCCAAGCCTTTATCGACCGGTGCTACGAGGATAGCGTTTGCCTCTGACTCGCTGAGAAGCGACATCTCCATCGCTTCGTGTCGATGGCTGTGGCCAATCTAGCAACATCTCAGTTTTTTTCAACGGAAAGAAAGATGGATCAAGCCCACGACTGCTAATGGATGCATGACGATTGGGACCGGGCAAGACAAGCAAAGGATACGAGCTCCGAAGATGTCCATCAACAGGGGAGCACTGCGGTCAGCTGCATCGATCTCGCACAACTCTACAGCTTTGGTCACCGCATTGACGGCCTGGCCATCGCTCAGTTGTAGACAGGATCGGAGACAGGATGCGACTGACCCGATCGTCCTTGGCGAACTGCTCCACACTCCACGTCGAGTGGCCGCGCTTCCCAGTCTTGCTGCACTCATGCTGGCAAGCTCCGAAAAAGTCAAAACAGCGATCCTTGGCGTAACTCTTCGGGAAAAAGTGGCACTTGGTGCAAATCCAACGCGCAGTGACGCGCATGGTTGGATGAAGTCGATTGCTTCGCGCAGTTTTCCATTTTGAGAAACCCAGCATCGCACCGAACTGCTCCTGGACCTGAGCTCGCCAGACTTCCAACGCTGATGTGATCATCTGATTCACGACATTGTCCCCTTTCAGATTCATGTCGGCAGCTTTCCCCGTCGGACTGTACATCGTCTGGATAATCGGGAACGTCCGGAAATGGGCGAGCGTAGGAAGCGCTAGTCGAGGTGCCCTAGCAAGAGCATCCGTCAAGAGACGTTCATGATGCTTCGTCACTGCTTCGGCATTTGCTCTCCTAGAAGCCTCGACACTTCTTCGTTCGTTTCGTTCTTTGAAGGATAACATTTCGGCTTCGATCTTGGCTGCTCGGACGTTGTAGTCTGAAGAAAAAATGTTCACAAGCGGACAGCCAACGGCGAAGAGAGAAAGAACCAAGCGTGGTGATCAGTTCCAAGTTCACCCTTCGTTGATGATATAGGTTGTTGTATGTGATGGACGCATTCAGCAGATCGCCGTACACATACCCTGGAGACTACATGAGCTCTGCCATGGAATTAGACGTTGAAAACCGCATGCCTTCTTTCGCAGCCAATGCCTTTCCACTGGTCCGTCCCATGTGAGAACTAAGATAAGGAGACATGTTCGCGCTCACTGACAATGCATCGTTATATATCTTGACATCCAGGGCTTTATCGGCTCTCTTTTTCCTCCATTCCCATAGCGCCACAAAGAATGGCATCCTGAGGGACTGTCTTAAGATCTCATCCTTGTGTCTCGCTTCCACCACGTCGACGTTTGCCGAGCGAAGCTCCGCCAACGCAGTGTCCATGTCTTTCTTCAGGTAGGCCATCGTGCGAGGCCACAGCTGAGAAGGATGATGTGTCCAAATTTTCCGCTTGTGTAGGTCCAGACACGCATCGGATTCCAAGAGAGGGATCCAGGTCAGCGCTTTTTGCGACCCGCGATCCAGAGCATTGGGTTGGTAGGCTATCAGGACGTTGTTCTCGGCCCATTCATTCATACATTTAGGGCGGTTGCAGAATCGGGCGCGAATAGACCAAGAGGAGTACAGATTGAAGGTGTGTTCCTCACAATTCTACGGTGCAGAAGCCTCCCTTGGTATCAGAAAGTCACAGCTGAGATGGAATAACGCACCGTGCAAGGCCCCCCGTCAAACACCATTGCCGCGTACACGGGCTCCGTCAGATTCATCGGCGCAGGATCCGGCAGCGCCTCGGGCAGACAATTGTTCCTGACGAAACGCCAAATGAACGCTGATTCAGGACGCTTGAGGGTGTTGTAGAGATATTTGTTGCATCGGGATGCGGACAGAACCGTCCTTGGGCACTTGGCGTATTGGAAAACCTCAGCCAGCAACTCGAACGGTAACTTCAGGAAGTGCGATGAAGGCAAAGGGGCTGCAGCCGCAGCTTGCGCGCGTTTCCTCGACGATCGATCCTTCCGCGCTTTCTTGCGCGGATGTGAAATACTCGCTGGATCTGACGCAGTCTCTTTCATGATGAAAAAGGTCAACGAGAGTACGTAGTGAGGGTCAGGAGCAAAGATGATTCGGAATGCTCCGATCCGAGAAACTGACAGATACGATCGCAAGTACCTACCGTTGGCAAAACATTTTGGAAAACATGTGCTATCCAGTGCGCCAGATCGAACCGATAGGAGCAGATGGACACAAACGGCCGCGTAATTGGATCATAGACTACAACTTAGTACAGTACAAGGGCTGTACCACGCATACAAGTACATTGGTTCTTTCTCTGAAGCTATAATCATAGCCAATCCTCCCGGATCCCAGAGACTGAACGGGAGCGCCGGCTGTGATCCCTCCGCCCGTGATCGAAGCGGGGCACACCAAACGTAGGTTCGCTGCCAGCTCTCGAATGTCGCTGAGCAGCCATTGATGAAGCGCGCAGTGCGAAAAGGTGTGCTGGGTCCATCAGTCCACGGTGGTCCACAACGACATCGCTCGCAGGCCGCTCTCGCATGTCGCAATCCGAATCCATGTTGTCAGATTCCATCTTCGAGTTCGAGTCAGAGTAAGAGGATGACGAAGCTGACGAAGATCGATGCAGAGAGAGGGGATAATCCGATGAGGAGATTGAGAATTTACTTCGTGGGTAGTTGCGTGAGTTGCGAGTGATATGAACGATTATCGAGTCCCGTGCTTTCTCAGTCAGCTCCGACACCGCGAGAGACTTGTGGCGCGTCTCTTCTTGATATTCACTAAGTTTAGACAAGGAGGCTCGATGTCGGCTATAAGAGAACCCAAAGATCGACATGATGAATGCGACTAAAGTGAGCACCAGAGCACCAACAAACACCAGTTTATGGTGGCCGTGAGTGCCGTCTCCAGTGATCTCGTGAGATGAGGGCGATGGTAACGCACTGGGCGAGGTCACCGGTTGAGTGGATGACTGAGTGGGAGCAAGCTGGGCCGATGAAGCTTCCATGACTGAAGTGGGGGAACCGGAAGCAGAGGCCGCGATGAGGGAGAAAACTTCTGCAATGGGTGGTAGCACGATTGCGTCTTGATTGACGTCGGAGACTCCAGCGAGCGACGATGCATCGTCCGGCAAGTCGCTGACAAAAGAAGTTCGCGCCAGAAGACGGTGACGGTCTTGCCGAGAGCGCGCAGTGGGAACACCCAAAGTCACACTTGCTCCGAGACCGAGAAGAATGGCGAGTACGCGGGTAGGGTGCATGTTGAAATTTGCAAAGGAGTGTGGTGCGAGGATTGCGTGGCGGATTAGGATGTGAAGATGGCAGAGCGGAGGAGAAAAGCAAAGGTGGTGGCGGTGTAGCTTAGATGCATTTACAGTAAGTTGAACACCGGCGGTCGACCCTCACGCTCATGTCCTATGGACTTTTCCACACGCTCAGCACGGAACTCGAAGAATATCACAGACGCCATGATATCATGGAAAATTACAATTAATTTTGCGGACTACGTGAATTATCTGGACAATCGAAATAAGCATAAGCGGTATGTATGTAGGGCTACTGGTATCAAGCATGAGGCGGCGGCATGTGAATGACACATGCAGGGAGAGCGATATTCGAAAGTAACACACACGGCACGTCGTTCAAAGAAAGCAGTAGATCTTGCAATCACAGGTTACGGTCTGAGATGCCGGCAGCGATGGCCTCAGGGAACCTTATGGTGGTGTTATCATCCAGATCGATTCCCATTCTCCTGGCACGATTTTCAAAAGCAAGCCTCTGTTCTTCGAGAGGCTGAGGCTCCCAAGATGCAGCCGCCCATGGATATCTGGTTCGCCCAAATCGGTAAGGACAATTAAAATCTGTGACGCCACTTACTTTTTCCAGCGGACAAGGTAGTAATGCACACGCCCGTTCACGGTGTCAAGCTTCGTCCACCGTCCATAGATGCCTTCGGGTTCGAAGAAAGCCTCGTCGTTGGGACAATCTGGACGGGCGCATTTATCCTCCATGCTGACATCCACACCGAGCATTGGAGCAACTAGAGGAGATAAGCGTCATGATGTCATCCACAGCAATGCTCTCGCAAACTAACCGCCTCTGAAAACTCTTTCAGTGAATCGGATAAGATCCAGTGATCAACATCACTGACGCTATGCAGCATGGGCAGACAAACGTCCCATGCAGACGAGGGTCCTTTTTACTCGATACTCCCATACACGAATAGTGAAACCATCTTTCGCATGGCGCTCTCGATGAAAATCAGACAGACAGTCAGCTGACCGGTGACAGATGGAATCTCACTGGTCACATCCAATGAACTTCCCGACATGCTATGCACCTATGTCAACACAGCAACACGGAAGACAAGGAGATGTACATACTTCATTCAATACTTTATTTGCTGGAGTAATGGAGGGCCAGATCACATCCTTTTCCGCCGTCTTTCTAGGGATAGCACGACCTCGTTTCTTCGAAACTTCGGCATCCTCTGGATGTCCAGTTGCCTTACGTTTTCTGGCCTGTCTGTGTACACTTCTCCGCGTCCCAGACGATTCAGGCTCCGTCAATTCCATCTCTTTTCCTTCGAAGTTCATAGCTGGGGGCGAAGCAAACGAGCTGATCGATGACAGTGGTGAATCAAACGAAACTTCAATCTTCCGGTGATCTGGGAGTGCCAAACGTGGTGGCGTCCGCACTGACGATAGTTTCCTTTCCTGCATCGTTGAAGAGGTGACAGAGGACGGGATAAATAGGCTATGGTGGGGCGGCGATTCCGAGGAGGCTGCGTCGACTTGGGTCATTCGAGCAACCGACATCTCTTCGTTGAGAGTCTCCCTGTCTCTCACCGACTCATGAGAAGTGTCGAGGGGCTGCAGTTGACGGAAAGCAGGTGGACCAGAAATCGCAGAGATATGTTGCTGTCTGTGAATCGGACCGATGGTGCGTTCTGGGCAACGTTAACGATTACGTGAGAAGAATGAGGCATACGCGCCTACCTTCCTGTTGCCAATGAACCGGACCGTGGACAGGAACAACTGGATCGGCACGAGAAAGGGACACAGAATCTGGATCGATCGATTGGTCCTGGCCTACATTCTTGAGGGAGTAGTCGTGGAGCATCTCTCCAAAACTCGAAGCCACTGATTAAAATTTGATAGGTTGGAACTCATCGCATGATATAGGTTATGAATCTCGTACTTACCCAGGGTCGAGGTGGAGCCTGAATGATCCAGATTAAATGAAGTGCTCCCAATCGGGGAGTCGCGTGGGCCTTGGGAGCGTGAAGCTCTGTCGTTATCCAAAATTGCTGTCCTCACAGGACTGGTGGCAATGTCGTGGTAAATGGGTGGTGAGGGTACTGCAAATGATCGGTAGGTCAAGATCAAGGCTATGCGTTGGGCGCTTACAGTTGGCTTCGGGGTCCTTCATCTTTTCCAACATTTCTTCTAGTGCAAAAGAAAGCAGATCAAATCTTTCCAGTAAGGTCTTTTCATGCGTTATCTCTGCCCCCATCCCTAGTACATGCTCTAGCCTCTTCATTCGACCCAGCTGGTTCACATGCGACTGTTGCAGTGCCTTCGCCAATTCACCGACGTGAGCTTGATGCTCTTCGCGAAGCACAACCAGATCTTTACGCAGCTCCACCATGTCTTTAGCTTGTCGGGCTTCAAAGGCCTTGAAACGCGCGTCAATGTGCGCACGGTGTGTATGGAGCGTGTCATCAAGGCATCGAGTTATCCTGTGTGCGAGGTGGTCGACATCGAACGGTGCAGGAGCAGGTGGATAGACCGGTGGCGGGAGATGATTCAGCTGATAATGGAATTGATGATAACCAGGCGGGTGTGGGACATGCGAATGCGGAGGAAGCGGCACGGGATGAGACAAAGGGTGAGGATTTGGGGGCATCTTTGACGGACGATGGCTATTTATGAAGGCGAGAGCGTGCAGCGGAGACTATTGCCGAAGAGAACAAATGGCGATAGATGAATGGAGAATTCAGGCCAGAGGGACAATCTTTCGCAGCGAAAGTGTGTCGAGGCCAAACAATTGAACGCGTACACAAGCCCAAATGTACCGCCACTTGGAATTTCATCGGGTCATCATGTCGCGTTTTCTATGGCAGCCTATCTGTCCTCTGAAAACAGGTGCTCTTGCAGAAAGAACACCATAAATTAGCGACCGAAGCGCTGAGGAATCTACTTTCGCATATCCCGACGTCAACCATACTTGGTCGCGGTGATTGCCGTAGCCATCTCATCTTATCAGCCCAGGCCGTAACTTTCAATGTTCTCTCTGAACCAACATGTCAGAATCATCACAAGAACTCGGGACCATCTGTATCATCGGTGCAGGTGCCGCAGGGCTAGCCGCTCTCAAAGCCGTTCTCGACTCGCCTCGTTATCGGGCTGGGCTATGGATGCCCACCGCTTTCGAGTCAAGAAATGAGGTGGGCGGGATCTGGTACACGAGCCATCGCTTTCGATCTGCGATCCTGTCTTATGCACCTCCTCACCAGGCTTCCGGACACTTCCGCGGAAGGTACTATCCAAGAAACACTTCCAAAGACCCCGTTGTATGATTCTCTGACAACAAACCTACCGCATCCGGTCATGGCCTATCCGAGTTTCCCCTTCCCACCCTCGACACCAGTTTTTCCCGGGGCCGCGCACGTTCAAAGCTATCTGAAGTCATATGCTGCGCATTTCGATCTTGGTTCCCATATCCGCTTCAATACCACGGTCACTGACGTGCTCCGGAGCAAGTCGGGTTGGTCTGTGAGTCTAGACACGGGTGAGATGTTGCAATTCGACCTGATCATTGTCGCCAACGGCCATTATGCCATTCCCCGTTATCCTGACGTGCCCGGACTAAACGATTGGCTGGCCGCCAAGAAAGCCATGCACTCGATCTGGTTTCGGCGACCGGAACGATTTGGAAACGAAGTCCTTGTGGTGGGTGGTGGTCCCAGTGGCAACGATATCTCTGCAGATCTCGCGACTGTTTGTCCCGAGATTGTACGGTCCGTTAGTGGCGCGACTGTCTCGGACTCAGGCTCGATCAAGACACGAGGTCGGACCACTCGATTTGGGCCCGACGGAAAAGTCTTCTTTGAAGATGGCAGCGTCGAAAACGATATTGACTTTTGCATCCTCGCCACCGGCTATGAAGTGCATTTTCCGTTCCTATCTGAGGAAATCGTCCACCCGACTGCTCCACCCCCGTGTCCTCCACTGCCTGACGAACTGTACAACTCAACATACAATATCTTTCCTCTTGCACATCACATCTGGCCGTTGCAAAAGCATTTCCCACCCACGACGATGGCATTTCTGGGTCTTCCTGTTCGTGTCGCCCCGTTGCCAGTCATGGAAGCTCAGGCGGTGGCCGTTCTGCATGCATTTGAGCATCCTGAATCCCTCGATCTTGAAGCGGCAAGGACTGGCGTGCTGGACCGTTACCAGGCTGTCGGCGGCCGTGCCTTCAGCGTTTTCCAGGAATCTCATGAGCAGTTTGATTATTCAGACGCACTCCACGCTTTTTCCTCGAGCAAAGTACGGGCTCCTATCTGGCGCAGGACAATGTATGAAGAAAAGACTGTATTGCGGAGATTTTGGGTCCATCTGGAGCGTACTGGAGAGGCCGAGGCATGGGTCAAGCACGTGGGTCGAGGAGATAAACCTTGGGATGAATGGGAAGCGCTATTGTATAGACTTCTTGAAGCCGCGCGAAGATGGGACTCAAAAGATGGCTCTCTGTTGTAGACAAATCTAGATATCTGATATGTGTGGGCGAAGGGGGGGATTCGATCTCCGATCACGGCGATACCGTCCACGTGATCGCTCCGTGTATTTCTTGCACTAGATTCTGAGCTGCTCAGCGTCCTCGACGCTCCCCCGACGCGTATGTTTCTTCTTCAAACAGAAATTTCGACACATTCAATCGAGTTACCCGTTCAGAAGTCGCCGTGCTCCGTCACAATGGACTTTTCAGCCCATTTCGGGGATAGCACTGGATTGTATTCCATGAGTGAGGCTGACGATTTCTTGTACAACCAAGTCCCGGGGCCAGAGGAAAACGCCAGCTCCAGTGAGCGCAGTGAATGCCATTGCCCCATCTTGTGTACTGATCGAGGCACCGCAGGCTCGGAAGAAGAGTCCTCGGACGGCTCTTCCGATGGGGAAGGGAGCGGAGGGGAGGACTTTGCAGGTCCAGTTCCACTAGCAGAAATGCAGATTGAAGGTGATTTTGAGTATGCCTCCACTCGATTGCCTGCTGCCGGCCTAGATTTGCTCAAATCAGCGCAGACGGCTAGTGCAAAACATCCGCGAGGATGACAACTCTGGCGGCATTCTCAACAGGGACTGGGACTTCAATGTAAAGGATCAAGAGAATCAATTTAGGGATGACCTCCGTGGAGCATCGGGTGTGGGAAAAACACGGCGGAGAGGCAAACGCGTACGTCTCCATCCTTGCACGCGACCTTGTCCGATGCCATGTAACTCAATCACAGGGCCGGCGCACAGGGCCGGCACTTTCATTTGAGGTCAAAGCCCTCCTCGGGGACGCCAACCAAGCCTACGTTGATGGGGACCTTTCCGAGGCGATCAGGCTCATGCGCGAAGTCATTCGTATCGAGCCGCGAGCCGCATCAGCCTGGTCCGTACTCGCGCAGTGTCATGACGATCTGGGGAAGCCCGAAGAGGCACTTCAGCTGCGGATCATGGCGGCGCATCTCAGGCACGAAGGCGAGGAATGGGATCGGCTCGCGAGACAGTCCAAGTCAGTTCGGCTTCCCGAAACTGGAGTTCCGTGGGTTCTGAGTCTGGCACGCGCAGTGATCTCGGTTTCAAGCAGCAAGCTTTGTATTGCTGGGGGAAGCTGGCTAGCCTTGATCCGACTAATATCAATGCACAGTGGGACAGGGCGTCGCTTGCCCGTGATTTGGGCGATTTGAAGACGGTGTGTGATCCGCCTCTTTGTCTGAGCTCAGCTCACAGTGCACAGACAAGGCATGCCTTCCTAGCGATTCTTAAGGTCTTTCCGCATGACATCCCGGTCCTTTCTGAGCTCCGCAATGTGCTTGTCGAACTAGGCGACCTCGAGACGTGTCTCAATCTCTTCGCTGCTGCATTCGAGCACTACCAGCGCGTATATCCAACAGGAGCAGGGGATCTTCCCGGTGGCGGTTTTGGACTGATGGAGCTGCTGGTTTTGGCAGACTTGTACAACACGGTCTCCGAACACCGGCCAGCTGTGGAGGTCATACGTCGAGGATGTCGTTGGCTGCAAGGTCGAGGTGATCAGAGATACTGGGATGCTTGTGACGACGATCGCGAATACGACTTGGAATTGTTCAAACGAGTCGTGGATGAAGGACCCCAGCCTGGATTCTATCCCTTGGATGTGAATGCGCGACACAGATTGTCCGTTGCGCGGATCCAAATGGGGTATACGCAAGAGGCCAAGGTATGTCTGTCCGGATGCCAAGGGTCTGAATGGCGCTGATTGGACCAGTTTCACACGAGTGCTGTACTGGCTGAGGATGTGTTGGACTATGCACCTCTGTTCGCAGAGACGGCTGACGCTTACTTCGACCAGAAGATGTATGCTGAAGCACGGCCTATTTACGAGCTTTTGGGGACCGAGGAAAGCGTGAGTTCGTTCTCCGGTGCTCACTACCGTTCTGGAACTTTCTTTCAGACGAGTAGCATGTACATCTTGCTGCGAACGGCGATTTGTTTGCGCATGCTGAATGAGTTGAGACCAGCTGTGGATGTGTACGAACAAAGTTTGTTTTCATCCCACTTACGGTACCGTGCACTCAGCCATCGCCCTGCAGTCAGACTTGTGGATCCAACCAACAACGATGCCAAATTGAAGCTCGCTGAAATCTATGAAATTCTTAATGAGCCTCGCAAGGCACTTGACTTGGTTTACGAGGGTTCGTTCATTATTTCATTTCCGATCACAATCTCATCTTGCTCTAGTCATCGACAGCAGACGGCGAGGCAACAAAATCATCGACGACGACGCGGGCACAGCCAATACTGCACCGCCCACCTCGTCGCTTTTTGCCGAAGAAAGCAAGTCGAGCGCACGAATGAAGCGATCGCAACCGCAGAACCGCATGAGCCGTGAGGCCCTTATCGAGCTGGAGACCCAAATGGAGCTGGAGACACTGCGCAGTCACCAGCACTTGCAGGAACTGTACCCCCAGATCGATCTGGGCTTACAGGATCCAAACGAAGCCGAGCGAGATTGGGTGATCACGGCAGAGAGGCTATTGGATGCGTTCCGGGAGACAAGGCAGCTGTTCACCACGACTGGACAATTCAAGGGCATGTTTCCGGGCAGAGAGCGCCCCTCGAAAGATCGCGAGGCAATGGAGGCCAGGATGATTTCACGGCTGCAGATGGAGCTGGATGGGGGCGGCTCAAGCGCGAAAAACAGCACCGACGTGTTCCGTGGCCTGAACTTCCGGGATTGGCTGAGTCTAACCTTCCAGGTACGTGTTCCACGCAAAGGAGAGCCTCGGGGCTGATTCTTGCAGTACGCTTTCCTAAGCACCAAAAGGAACCAGTATGAATCTGCGGAAGATCTCTTGAAGCATATGGCGCTCTCCATCGCGTTTCGTTCCGCCGAATGCCAAACTTCGATCCGGCTTGCGTTGATCTGTGTGTGGCTTCTGATTGCTATGTAGTTGCTGCTTACGGGCTACCAGCTTGTGCGATGCTAGCGGGACGATTTTCTACTGTTGTCGAGCACGCGCGGAAGATCATCACCACATATCAGTTCAACAACGAGCCGCTGCGGATTCTGCTGGCGGTGCTGTCGAGTGGGCTGCATCCGACGGACGCATTTATCGTGTCCCCCCTCCAGAAGTTCTTGTATCGGGAGATGAAACTCGTTGGGGTGGCAAGCAAGAATCCGGAACTGGCCAAGTGGACTCCCGCCCAGAAGCGCTTTAGTTTGATCAACAACAAAGGCGAGGACGGAGATGACGAACCAGCGGATGAGGCTGTCCCCACAGCTGTGGGTGGAGACCATGTTCTGCCCGCTTACGCCCGGAAACCGAATCCTGTTATCACGGCTATATATGGTCAGGTCTGCGTTGCAGCCAAGAGCTACCAGAGTGCAATCTGTGAGGCTCGTCGATTTGCCTTATCTCTACTTATCTTATCTTTCCAGTCTATCTCCTACAGGCCTACGAAATGTGCCCTGAAGACCCGATGATCTGTCTGAGCCTGACCATGGCGTCTCTGGGCCGTGCGATGCAACGGCAGTCCGACAACCGCCATCATCTCGTGGCCCAGGCCTTGGCGTTCCTCTCGCGGTACCGCGCTCTGCGCACAGAGCAGACCCATGGCTTGGGTGAGATCGAGTACAATTTCGGGCGCGCGTTTCAGCAGATCGGACTGCACAGTCACGCTGCCAGGCATTATGAGGCGGTCCTGGCGCTGGCTGAGACGCAACAGGATAAGACTGACACTCTCGCTCAAGAGGCTGCTTATAATCTGGCTTTTGTGTATAACTCAACTGGCGCGGTGGAGCTGGCTCGAGCTCTGTATAGGCGTTGGCTGACTGTTTGATGACCCGCGCCGCAAATGTGTATCCGTATTCTGTTAGGAATCGACTTCGGCAATGTATCCATATTTTGTTAGGAATCGACTTCGACTCCGTATCAGTTATTCGTGGCCCCATCATCATCACATCACGAGAGCAATCCTTGATATCAAGTTGATTTCTATTACATTTAGCTTGATTTAGGAGTAAATCGTTCGTATTCATTAAATAGAAGGCGCATGATTCTCCTAGAGACAGCTACCTTTTCAAACCTAGCTGGCCATCACACGCTGCCAGTGCTCTCTCGCCGCAGCCAGCTGCATCTCTGTGTGTCAGATCGAGCAGGTGTAAGCAATTGCACGCATCCCCAAGCAAATGCAAACGGTCACCTATCATCTTCGAACTCGCAGCTCCGCTTGTCATGGCCGATAAGACGTCCACGCCAGCTTGGTTGAACTGACGCAACATGTTGCGGCTAGCGGGACTGCCTCTGTGCTTCAGTCGCGCGATCTCCGAAACCAGGACGTTGATGGCGAGCGACCAGATCGTCTGGAATGTATATCGTCAGGACCACGACGCGGCCGATGAGGACAGAACAAAAAGCCTCACCCCCAGCACCGGATCGACATATTCCGCCGACGTCCAATCCTGGCTGCGTCCGAACTCCACGATGGCTCGGCACGAGCGCAGCATGCACTGCCGCGATTCGTCGTATCTGTCAGCAAACGGCTGATGGAGCAGCAGCGTCGCCGCATGCGCCAATGTATGCGCCAGCGAGAGACCCGAAGTGCGGTTGCTGGTGGCGAGTATCGCCTGCTTCAACGACTCGATGGAGTGGTTCAAGCCGATGTGCTGCGCGGAAAACACAGTCTGATCGGTGGCTTGAGCGCAGAGGAGCGACGCTCGCTCGAAGAGAATGGCTGATTTGGCTTGAAGCGCTGGAGTCGAACGGCCTTGGTCAACACGGTTCGACAGGAATTTCGTGATCGTTCCACAGTTTTGGATGGGGAGAAGGGTCGAGTCCTCGAGACGAAGATAAGCATCGGCCACAGAAATACAACAGCGCTCACAATCTCGTACGCCTCTAGTTCTAACGGCCACGGAACATCGACCACGTCATAGCTCACACTCGATCCAGACGCGGGATCCGCAATCGCGGACAAGCAGCAATTCTGTGCGAGGACAGCCCAGAACGCGTTGATACGCTCGCCCTCCTCCAGCATGGTCACCGCGGGCGTCATCTCGGACAGTCCGGTCCGCGCTGCCGTCGCCGACCGGATTTTATGGAACTCGGCGCCCAGGACGATGGACAGCGCGCACGTCGCGTGGTAGCGCGCTTCCAGCAATCGTGCGCGGTGGAAAAAGTATTGCGACAGGAGCAGCGAGGCTTGGAGCGTCTGGAGAACCATGATCGCGCTGTGTGCGTTGGCCAGACCCGACGACACAGCCTGCACTGCGCAAGTAAGCATCGTGGACTCGAGATCCGAGTCGTTAAGAAATGCGGCTCCCCAAAGACAGATTGCATTCAAAAGGGCGGGGTTGACCAGCTGGCTTGGAATCTCTCCAGCCAGAAGAGGGTCGAAAAGACGAGGATTCAGAAAGAATCCTAAAGATTTGGCCTGTACCATAAAGGCATCGATTCTGAGGTATCGTTTGAGGACGGCTAGAGTTGGGGAAGCACATGACGCACAACATTCCATAGGCTATTCCAGACGTTTCCGGCATAGGATCTAAACAACATTAGACGAGGAAAGAACATGTGAGTGGCTTCACCCCAATTGTTTTGGCTCTGGGCAGTCTCCGCGAACGGATTCTGCAGGTTGACCAGGTCGTTCTGTAGCTCCGGTTGTTCCAACTCGCGTATCCGCATTTGAACAAGCGCGATTTGCTCTGCTTCAACACTGAGCTGGTCACACTCGAGACAGAGGTGATGAAGCCCGACCTTCAAGAACCTGCGATTGAGCCAGGCCGGTGTCCGAATATTCGCAATCAATGCATCCACCGCCGGTGAATTTCTCGCACGGAGTGCAGATCGGTCTCTTGGCGTCGCATTTCTAGTCCGAAGATTTGCATTGAACAAGAGGACAAGACTCGAGACTGCGTACGACTTTCCTGCGCCTGAGAGATAGTTTGAGTCGCGAGCGCTCAGGAAGCCAGTCGTACGCACCGGCAATTGAGGCAAGCCTTGCCTTTGTTTAGCTGGCGCCTCTTCGGTGTCCAATTCAGCTGCTGAGCCATGTGTTAACTGGAATCGATCCTCTGGCAAGCGTCATACTTGGTTATAAAGGGTCCTTCACATTGTCACGACGACTCGAGCCTCAGAGGGTTCTGTCAGGTCTGACTAAGAGCCCCGGAGACTCGTTTTCTGAAAGCGCCGAGCATCGCTGTTTCTGGCGGAAATCGTGCGGCGTTTCGACGCTCAGGTCTCAAACCTTGTAGTCGAGCCGAGTAGCCCAGCCAGGATGGTCTGAGGAACGCCCACCGGGACCCATATCCAAGATGAATGAGTGCGCTTCGCGCCGTTAGCATCCTACCGCTGAATCAGAGTCATGCATCTTCTGGAGTTCAACTCCGGCTTTGTGATGGTATCTGGGAACGCCTGTTCCATATTTGGCCATTCGGTCAGCGCGCTGACGCCAAGCACGTGATTTGCTAGATGTTTCAGCTTCGACCTGAGGTCATCGGGATTTGCGCTCTGTTACGAGGCTGCTACTGCTTTGTCCATTTCAGGTAGTGTTTTCCAGTCGGCGGAATATGTCGCGAGCAGAGCATTCGATGTATCACGCTTACCTGATCGCCGGTGGCCATCAACCCGTCTGATCCGAGATAAGCTGGCTCCTGTTGGCCATGACCTTGACGCGGTGTAGTAATACTGCTCTGCTCCGACCATGGCATTTGGTTCGTACCCATTGAATGACGGGAGGGAGGTGCGTTTTCTGTGTATTCAATTCGACCTGCGTTTGTAATAGCATTCCTGAGATCCCCGCCATTGCATTCGGTAACCTTTCGACCACCAAGTCACTGCTCAAAACTTACTGTCACGCGCTATCGAAGGAACGGGCAGCATCTACAAATGGACCGATGTGTCTCGTCTTGTCGAGCAAGCGCTCGAAGCTGGCTTTTGGCATCTAGACACTGCTCAAGGTGCGTTGCTGCCACTTTCTCTAGTCGCATTGAGAATTCACGCGTAGTCGTCCAGCTTATCGGACAGAGGGTAAATGATCCGCGGTGTTCGAAGAAATCTCTCACCCCGCTGTCGCAGAATACGTCGGCAAAGTCATCCACGAGAGCGGCCTTTCTCGATCCGAGTTGTATGTCACAACGAAATATAGCGGAATTGGGGACATGCGCAGTGCAATCGAGTCCAGCTTGTCGAGCGTATGTCGTTTTCCATCGGGCCCGGGTCGCGTCCAATCTCACCTACTGTCAGCTGGGACTCAAATACGTCGACCTTTACTTGATGCACCAACCGTTCCCAAACTTCGCAGTCCTCTGGAAAGAGTTTGAGGCCATTCAGAAGGAAGGATTTGCCAAGTGCGTGCTTGCGATACAGTCGCTCCTCGTCCGTACCGACACAAGCCATCTGCCTGCAGGAGCATTGGTGTTTCAAACTTCACTCTCCCCCATTTCCTTTTGCTAGTGCAAAACGCCACCGTCTGGCCGTCCGTCAACCAGATCGAGTTCCACCCGTACACGTATGCAAAGTACAAGGAGACCATCGAGTGGACGAACAAGCACGGGATCGTGACAGAGGCGTACAGCAGTCTTAGGTGTGTTGCACGAGCTGAACGTGTCGAAAGCAGCGCGTTGAAATCAAGCACAGTCCGATCACGAAGTTCCCGGGCGGACCAGTCGACAAGCCCGTCTCAGCCGCAGCTGCACGTCTTGGCATCACTCCGACGCAAGTGCTTCTGCTGTGGGTCCGGGCTAAGGGCGTGGTCATCGTCACGTACGTTCGGCATCATCCCATCCAGTCTGTTCATCCATTCAAAATCTGCGCAGCACTACCTCGAACAAGGACCGGTTGAAGGAATATCTAGCCGTAGGGGATCTGCGTAAGTTTTGGCCGTTGCTCCGTAAATTCTCTGAGCTGACGCGTACCCAGCCCCGCTTTCGGACGAAGAAGTTGCCGCCATCGACGCAGCAGGCGCGAAAGGACCGCCGCGGTTCAATCTGCGATCTTTGCGGTCTCACGGGTCACGTGCTTTCATGCTGATTCTCACTCTCATGTTTATCTGGGGCATCCAACTGCTGGTCTCGCGTGTTTATTAGAGCAGAACAAATACCAAGGACTGGTTATTCCTCGTCTCTGTCTCGCACTCTGATCGCGAGGCGACAATCATCAGTGTGTGTATGGTACAAACAATCTAGAAGAGTCCGCTTCCAGGAAAAACACCGAAACTGTCTCCGCCTGTGTTTGACCTAGAGTCCAGCGAATCCGAGTCCGAGCCGTCCTCTACCGTGGGATACGATGCAGCCGACGCTGAAAGCGCCTGAGATCGTGGCGGCTCTGCTGGGGGCGGGACCTTTCGATTCGCTTCCTCGCTGGTCCGGCGCATGCGAGCATAGACAGGTTCCTCGCCCTGCCCTCCGCTTTCTCGTCCAGCTGCCTCGGTCTGAGCACCACCGAAACCAAACGGGAAAGCGCCGAGGTTCAGATTGCCAATGTTGTAGCCACCGATGACAAGGCCTTGCTCTGGGTCTGAAGGTGCGTTCTGTGTGGGTGATGGATCGAACTAGAGGGAATGTGAAATTGACGAAAAAGATACAAGACTTTGAACGTACCGCATTCCAAACTTCTTGTCTCTCGCTGTCCCTGGTCGTGTTTCCCGTCGTCCGGTCGATAAGATGACAGATGTACAACGTGTCGGCACAATCTCGGACGACCCCCGCACAGAACAAGCTCACTGCGGCACAGACAGCACCAGCCAGAATCGCAGCTCCAATCGCAGCCCGTTGCTGATCAGCATAGCTGACGCCTTCTGTGGGATGTGTGAGCCAATGCTAATGGCGATCTACGCAAGAAAGCACACCTTCGCCTTCTCGATCACCAGCAGCTCGCAGGTATACCATCAGTGCAAACGGCAGCGCCAGCATATAAGGCCGCGGTAACGGCAGCGGCGGGGGAACCCGCTCGCCTCCTGCCGCCTTCAACTCTCTCACGCCAGTGACAGCTTCCCACCAGCCACGGCCATTCAACCCACAATACACCCCAGCATGAGCGCCACCACTGACGCGCTCGCCCACAGCATGCAATTTCCCCAAAAGGAAGTCGGCGCAGATCGCAACGGGCCGGTACGGCAGTGCCATTGGGGCCCACCGCAGTGCCGTGCGCACCATATCGAGCAGTGTAAGCACAAGAGACGAAAGCGCCGACAAAACAAGTGGCCCTGGTGGTCGCTCGAGAGCAGCGTGGAGCACACGCAATTGGGCGTCCAGTACCGGGTGGCCGGTCGCCAATGCGTCGGCAGGGGCGGATATCGTGACCGAGAAGTACCAGGCACCAAGAGTGCCGGCAACTGCACTCCTCTGCAGCGAGCGCGCAGAGAAGTAGAGATGGAGTGTCGAGAAAACGACCACTGCACTGGCCGCCCGAAGATACCAGGTGTGTGAGAGTGGCAGGCGGATCATCAGAGTGAGCAGTGGGAGACTGGCTATGAGGCCGCCGAGCAGGATGATTGGAGACAGCAGTAATAGAAGCGGTGCGCGGAAGAATAAAATCCTTGTAGCGAGTGCTAACAGCCCCGGTGACCGTGAAGCCCGGCGCAGGTCAGCCGGGAGGGTCCGTACACTGAGCACGGCGAAGAACAGAGGGACGATGGAGAACAGCCTCAAGCCCCAACCGGCGCCTGCGCTGAACGAGCCTGCAAACGCCAAGACAGAGCTTAGGAACAGAGCGAGGGGCGGAGCTAGAGCCGAGAGCAGAAGCACTGGTCGTAAGAAAGCACGCACGAGCGCCAAGTGGAGGTAGGATAGGAAAGCGGATAGTACAGTAAAGAATGTGAGCAGCGGTATGGTGTGGAGCAGCGCGGGAGGCGCCGGCCGCTCCCCGGCCTCGTGCAGGACGAGGGATAACAATGAACATATACACAAAACCGAGTACAGGGCGAGAAAGCCCGCGGCGGCGCGGGCATTAGGTTGTGGGCGTCGGCGCCGAGAATAAGGTGACGGAAGATGAAAGGCGTGGACGTCTGGTCCAGTCCGGGGAAGGAGGGATTCCGACAGGGCAAGTGATAGCGATTGGGGCTCGTGCTCATGTCGAGGTGGGGATATCGAACGCGGAGGCGCCCGCGGCGAGGGAGTGCTGTTACGTTTGGCGCGCAAAGGTGACGGTGATTGCCTGTGTGCGTGCGCGAGCCATCCGGCGCCTTCCCCCTCCTCATCTGAGTCCAAATCATCCTCTGGGTACTGCTCTACCGTCGGGTACTGTGGTTTCCTCCCAAATGCGTTCTCTGTTTGAGTATCTTCGTCTACTTCAGGTTCGTCCAACCTCAGGTAGGGGTCTTCGTCGTCCACGTCCGGTAGCTCGGCACTGGAGCTGTATCTGAAATGCGGATCGTCGGTATCATCGATATCCATATCCATATTTCTACGATCCAGCCTGTCGTCTGCGTCGCTCGAGAACGAGAAGAACATGGGGTGCTGCTCGGTCGACGTAGAGGCCGCTGGCCCCGGTGGGCGGTTCAGGAACTGCGAGGCGTAGGTCGCAAAGGACATGGAGAACAAGACCAAGGGAGATCAACAAATTAGGCTTGCGTAAGTCTCGTGCTGTGTTGCTTTGACACGGCTACTAATGTACGTACGACTCATGTCTGCTCTACTCGCGACACAAGGTGGCACGCGTATGCACACGAACCAGAAGCGGCCATTTAAATTACTCCGACCGCCGACCACGAGGCATATCGAGACTGATGCGCATGGCTGGATTGCTTCTACATACATGCAATCGATTCGACGGGAAAATCCGCTTGACACGAGACTCACAGAAAGGTATCTTGAATACATCCAGAGAAAAATCCGGGTGAATAGTACCGAAAACCTCCAAGGACTAGTACAAGAATCATCATAAATGCCTACAAGCTGTCAATCCCGCGCCGGTAGTATGCACTCATCTGGGTGACTTATAAGCACAAGCGAAGTTCATGAATAAGCGATTATATCGGAAATGAGACGATTCCATGAGACAAGTATGGGTTACCAGCAAACGTCGACGTTTTTTTTCAACAGTCAACCGTCCAAGCTCAAATATTCAGAGACAGATTGACGCTGTGATTGACGTCACCGCGAGATAGGGGTAGTATATCACGTGGGCTTAATGCCTGCTATGAATTTGAGCTTGGGGCAGGACGCAAGACCGCACGGTCACTACGCATGTTCGCGGCGCGCCAAAGACTGCGTTCTCGCTCACCGCTCTCCAATCGTCGCCGCTCTTTCTCCCACTTTCTGCCCCCTCCATTCCGACTGACGATGCCCACCTCCAAGCCTCAGCCTCCAGCCCACTCTAAAGTCCTTATTTTTGGCGCGGGCAACTTCGGATCGTGTCTTGCTGAGCATCTGGGAGACTCGGACCATCGCGTATTTCTGTGGTCCCGCGAGGCCAAGGCCGTCCAACACTTCAACGAATGCCACAAGAACTTGAAGTACCTACCCGACCACGAGTTCTCCAAGAACATCAAGGCAGTGGGACCTGAAATGCCAGACTCCAAATTCTTGTACGAGATGGATGTTCTGCTGTTTGCTATTCCAACGCAGTATCTGAGGTATCTATCTCTCGCGAGTACGTTCGACGTCTGACGCCGCAACAGAGAAAATCTGACCATTCTCAACCGCTCTCTACACGACAAGACGAGACTACCGCTACTCATCTTCGTCAACAAAGGAATTGAGATCGAGACGGATGCATTGACATTGGAGATCATCGCAGATACTTGCGGGCCTGACATAGCGAAGGCCGCGACTTTCATTGTAAGTTCACGTCCATCAATATAGCCCGCGCTGAACCGCCCAGTCTGGGCCTTCATTCGCTAAAGAGAGTGAGGCTCGTGGCATGTTGAGCGGACTGTGCTGATCGTCCCAGTTGTTCGCAGGATGCCGACGTCGGTGTCTGTCGCTTCCTTCACAGAGGCAGAGGCCGACAAAACATCCGACCTCTTCCATCAACCTCATTTCAGATGGTGTGTACCAGACTTTGAGCGGGGTTTCGCGTTTTGATGCTGCTTTAGCTACACAGGAACGGATCCAATCGGGTTGGAACTCGCTGGGGCACTGAAAAACGTGTATGCCATCGCTGCCGGAATGTCTGATGGTTTGGGGTATGAAAATAATACCAGAGCGAGTGCGTGCGTTCTATGTTTAGCCCGAAGAAACTCACCCAAGCGCAGTGATCATCACGCGCGGTCTCTCTGAGATGACGTGCATTGGGACAGCCTATGGCGCATCGCCGCTGACGTTCATCGGCTTGGGTGGGGTCGGCGATCTCTTCCTGACCTGCTCGTCCAACAGCAGTCGAAACTACACGGTCGGCTACCGACTCGGACGCGGCGAATCACTGGAGGAGATCCTGGGCACCCTCGGAAGTGTTGCCGAGGGTGTTTCGACGGCTAAAGGTGTGAAACGCATCATCGACAAGCTGGGCGTGAATGCGCCCATCGCCGAACGGGTATTTGAGGTGTTGTACACCGGTGCGTTTCAGCATGCAACCTCACACAGGGTCAGCGCTCATCTTACAACCAGGCAAGTCCACGCAGCAAGCTGTCAAGGAGCTAATGGAGATGCCTCCGACTCGCGAGCTGGATTTGCCCAATCCAGGGAAGCCGGTCCGAGATCTCATAGCCAAATTGGGCCTGCAATAGAGGTTCGTTTTTTCTCTAGGATTCGGGGTCATGAACTACATTACACGTGTCAATAGTGGGTGCTCCATTGTTTAGAAAGTTATAATGGGTATGTGTATCCGGATGGCTGAAATTAGATTCCATGTGACTGAGATGAGATGTCCAGCATCTCTGAGAGAAACTCATGCAGGCAAGAACAGAGATGTCACCAGACTGGTCCCCTCCTAAACTGCAACATTACGAGCCACGTTCCCTTGGCTTTCCAATATGAAGGATCGGTGTAAGGGACGCAGACTGTCAATGCAGGACGAAACTGCATCAGCAACTGGCCCACCGAATCGCTATGAGGAAGCCCTCTGGAATGCTGATCGCGACCACAGAAGCCGGTGTTATAAAATACCAGAGTCTTTGAGAGCGTTTTGCAAGATAGTCTCTTTGACTGCAGCGAAGACCAGCCGGATGTTTTTCGTATCGGTGGCTTGAGTAAGGCTAGACATGCGATGAGCAACAAGCAACATCAATATAGGGTCGTGACAGACTGTGGATAAACGCTCAGTCGCGCCCGGTTCTCTTGCATGAACCTCCAAAGGATATACTTGGCCGCTTTGTTGATGTCAGCGCCGCCGGTGTATTCCGAGAAGTATCGCTCAAGAGGAACCTGAGAGTTATACATACATGAGCAACGGCGTAGGTCAATAAACTCGTAGAAGATACCTTGGGAAGCTTCTCCCTGAATACGTCGATCTTATTTAGGAAGAGAATAATGGAAGTTCGAAGGAACCAGCGACTGTTGATGACGCTCTCGAACAGTACTAGGGACTCTCGCATCCGGTTCTAAGTGGAGAGACAGCCAAGTTAAATCGATGTATGCACAGTCAGAATGTCACGCGCCTGGTTCTTTTCTTCCAAGAGGACCTGATCATATTCGCTCAGTGCCGTGCAGAAGATGATACTGGTGACACTAGAAGCAGTTCAAATCACTGCAGGTGTAAGGGAAGAAGGCTGGCGAGTACCTTTCGAAGCAGTGGATCCATTTCTTCCGTTCAGAACGCTGACCGCCCACATCAAACATGTGGATGGACAGACCCCCCATATTGAATCGAGTCTCTGTGATGCTGGTGCTCTGCAGTCGGGCACGGAGAACGTCGTTTTCCGTGGGTGTATAGTCGGGTTCAGCCAGTCGGTGGATAGCAGTGATGAAGCTTTGGAACTCAGTATTGGACTGTAGTGCAAGGGTCCAGGATAGCAACTCACTACTTCGCACTGTCCATCAGGTAAAATTCACTGGCATGCTCATCAATGACCCGGGTTACCACCGGGTCTCGCCAAAAGACGTCAATCGCGTCTGCAGTCTCTTGATTCAGAGGCGCCTCCGACGAGACTTCCTCTATGACCTTGGGCAGATGACGATGGTCTTCCCGGAGCAGTTCCACCAGCCCAGTGTCCCGCAAAGCCTTTGCCAGCGCTTTTGCCGAGTCAATGGCGTTCTTGTGTATGGTGGGCCGGAAAGCCAAAAGTTCCTCCCGCGAAAATCCGTCCTGGTGAATGATCTTCATCTGCTTCACGATGGTGGACTTTCCGGATTCGCCGGAGCCGAGGAGGAGTATCTTGCACTCCTTCTTGTACCGCTTGGAATCCTCGTCGAGCATCTTGTCAATTTCTGCGCTCCGTGCTTGGGAAGCACGGTCGATCTGGGAGCTGCAGCCACCCATGGCGCCGCAGTCAGGGTGTGTGCAGCGTTGTGGACAGCAAGCTGATTAGAGCCCGCCCTAGACAGCGAGCGGAGCGACGTGCGGTCTGAGAGACGGAAGAGAGGCCGTCCTCAATGACGCCTGGTGAGCGCAGTTCTGACCAAGCAGGTGCGGAGGTCACCATATTTGGTCATCCCATCATCGATCATCATCAAATCAACATTCCGTACCGACGACAATCTTTCATTTTGGCACCCCGACTCCCGAGGACCCGACTCCGGACCCGACGGATTGCTGGAAAACCTTGGCCAGCACTTTCGCTTGCTTTTAGTTTGAGCAACCGATCCCTGATCGTCAACCATGAACCAGTTCTGATCATCGTGGCATGAGGATATCCAAGCTGCGTCCTCCCACACTCTCCGACAATCAGTCAGCTTCGTGGGCGTCTTCTCGGGGATCTCCATAGCGCCGATCTGTTTCTCTTCCCCTCCCATTCTTAGCCATAGGTCAATGCTCTCCTTCCTGCTGCGTCTCCTGTACCGGCCTTTCGTTGACGCTCTGGCCACTCCTGTGCCGCTCAATCTTCTCACGCACAGAGCAAGACGTCTCCTATCCTGAGATGGCACGCTCAGACCAACTCCCACCGCAATGCCTTTTCTTCCCGAACTGTCCCCTGATCTCACGGCTTTGCACCTGAAGAACACGAGAGATACGTCCTAGATACCGCTGCGGACATGTGCTACTCATGCTGGCATTGCTGTTTTCGAATGAAGAACAGATGTCTTGAAATGCCTGTTGGATTCATCGGACTCACAGCCGTTCTATCGTCGCGCGCGTTTCAGCACTTGATTGTCCTGTTCCTTTTCATTTGCAATCTGGAGTCATGCGCGTCCTTTTGGTTGGACTCGCCGCCGACTTTCCGAAGGCGGACTGCACTTGTCTGCCAGGCTCTAGATAACCTGGACAGACTCAGACTCGGACCTGCTCATGGGCGGGTCTTCAATTTTCACGAAGAAAGCTGTGCTCGTCACGCAGCGAGATCGGACTGGCTGCGGCTCATTAGTCGCATCCTCTTCGAAGCGCCTGTATAACCCGTTGAAGAGCTGCCCCAGGCTCGCATTGATGGCATAGCGAGACAGCGCGACACAGCTCACATCCTCGGGCGGCGGCACTGAGGCATATGTACTCAGCGACGGGCTTATTGCACAAAGCTTCTGAACGCAAATCCAATCTCCCTCGCCGTTGAACGTGCGGACAGTGTAGGACAAGTGATCCCGCATCGTTCCCCTGGTCGACTATCCAGTTGTGTTCCTACCTTGCTCAGCGCTGGCGCTGTGGTTGTTGTGGAACTTCTTGCTCGCTATATGCGCTCACAGACAAGACCACTTTGACTCAACTTCTTCCGGTGGGCCGCTGACATCTTCCAAACAGAGAATTTGCCTACACGTTCTCCAGACTCGCTACGACACGAGAGACATTGATTGCGCGTCATCTCAAATCTGCTTCCGCATCCCAAGTCCGTTTATGCGTGCTTTGGCCTCATCAACTGGTGTACCTCCTCCTCACCACCTGATCAGGGTTGTCCTGTTTCTCGTCGCCTTTCCTTTGCAGTGCTTGCAAGACTCCTACGCGGCCCTTGTATTCTCATCATGACTGTGTCGCCCTGAACGGATACCGCAGAGCCTGTCGATTGTGTAAATGCATAGTTGGATCTCATCTCCACGAAACTTGCACATGATGTCTGCCACAGCCTGCAGTGTTCCGATATTTATCGCCTTACTCTTCAGGCTTTTCCGCCCTCCCGATGACCGAATTCTAATGCATTTACATCTGATCAGATATCTGACCAGTGGTCCAGACGAAATCAGTCGAAAGCTCGCGCGGCAGAGCCATCAGGTCTGCCGAAATATGGACTCAAGATCGGGTTTATGTCGAGGTTTTGATGAGCCCGACAGGTTTTGGGAGTTGACATTCTGCTTACAACCACACCGAAAGTCGAATGGCGATAAGCGGAGACATTTTCATTCGGGGAAGATACGAACATTCCTCCAGCTGCAGGGCACAACTTCATCTGAAAACGTGGCCATTATGTAGAGGAAAGCACGGAGAAACATCTCAAAATGTCAATGATCTGGGTCTTTTTGAAACATATTCAAGAATCCTCGTCAACTTTGGGAGAATGCATCGAGAAGCGGGCCTTAATGTTTATGGACACTCACTGCAAAACCGTGCTCTTCTGTCCAGAAACGGAGATCTCCCCGCTTGCAAGGTGCCACCAGTCAATTTCAGCGGAATGTGATGGCAGCTGCCAGAATCTGTCAGAGTCGTGAAATGACCGCAGTTTATCATGGCCGCGTATCGGCCGAAAGCCCGAACCATCGGCTTCCCAGGCGCTAACCCTGAACTTGTATTATCTTTGCCTACTTTTCACGTCGCCCACCCCATTTCAGTCGCCTCGGAGTTCAGCTATGAGAGCATCAGGTAGAGTTCCACCTCATAGGTGCTTCTGAGCCACTTCGACCGATATCGACAACCTCTACGATTTGCGATTGCAAGCATCTGCGGACGCCTTGGTGTCATCAACACGAAGCCGCAAGCGATAGCCGTCCGGCCGACGATACAGCTATCATCCGGAGTTGGAGGAGCAATTTCGGTGGCTCAGGTAGGAGCTCAAGCGCGGGCGCCTTGCAGGCGCTCCCATCAGATGTAGCGGGAGACAGGCATCCAGCCTCGTGGCCTGACGCATTCTACATCGCACCCGCACCATGCCTCCCCCCGAATCCCGGTTTCGTGCCTTTCTTTCACGTCTCCGGGCATTTCTGGTCAACAATCGCTTCATCAGCGGGGCCAGGCGGTCTCTGTTCTTGTTTTTCGCGTTCATCTTCGCCCGGAGATCCAAGTCCAAACCTAAAGCAGAAAACAGCCCAGACCACACCCAGGATCATATTCGTTTCGTATTGCCAGTCCAGGCGGGAGGGGGAGGATATGCGTTGAACGATGTCCATCCATCTGAGGTTGTCTTGCCCAGCACACTTCCGACTTTTTTCCCGGCCCCTCGGACTTCCGGCCGAAATCCATCTCCAAGTCGTCTTTCTGTGCAGGCTTCACTTCGTCCGTCTCGACCGTCGAGTGTCCATTCGTCCCGCGTATCTTTGCCCATGGTGGAACTTGGCCAACAGGCGTACAGTCTGGTAGACCCGTCTAATCAGCACCACCATCTAGTTCGACGTTCTGCCTCGCGTCCCTCTATTTCATCCTCCAGAGAGTCTGTCGATCGTCTCTCTGTATATCCGAGTCGCGGAGCCTCCCCCTCCGATATGATGCCAAGTCGCGGTCCTTCTCCTCCTGCTGAATTCCCGGATGTGGTACTGTCTATCCCATCGCCCGACGGATCACCTCCAGACCACTCCCTCGGCGGCGGCCTCGAGCCCATGCCGCTTCCCCAGGAACTCTACGACGACACACTGTTGCCCGTCGTCCCTGAATGTTCTGGAAGATACGACGTGAAGGCCACTGCGTCAGTGGTGCCCTTATTCCCGCCTCCCTTACTGACTGGAATATGCTAGTGATGACGAACCCACTGTCTTCGCGATCTCGCGATGCACGTTTGCTCTCGTTGAGTC